TTTTTTTTTTTTTTAAATTTTTTTTTTTTCAACGTTTATTTATTTTTTGGGACAGAGAGAGACAGAGCATGAATGGGGGAGGGGCAGAGAGAGAGGGGGACACAGAATCGGAAACAGGCTCCAGGCTCTGAGCCATCAGCCCAGAGCCCGACGCGGGGCTCGAACTCACGGACCGCGAGATCGTGACCTGGCTGAAGTCGGACGCTTAACCGACTGCGCCACCCAGGCGCCCCACCTTTTTAAGGATCTACAAATAATATTCCGTTGTATGTATGTACTACATTTTGTTCATCCATTCATTGGTCTATAGACACTTGGATTGCTTTGCCTTTTAGCTACTGTGAATAATACTTTTATGAATATGAATGTACAAATATCTCTTCAAGACCCTACTTTCAATTCTTTTTGGTATATACCTAGAAGTGGAATTTCTGGATCATATGGTAATTCTATGTTTAACTTTTTGAGGGACCATCATACTGTTTTCCACAGTGGTGAAACCATTTTACTTTCCCACCAGCAGTGCACAAGAGTTCCAGTTCTTCCACATCCTCACCAACACTTGAACACTTGTTATTTTCCTTTTTTTTTTTTTTTGATAGTAGCCATTCTAATATATGGGAGATAGTATCTCTTATGGTTTTAATTAACGTTATTTCCCTACTGTGTTGTATGTAAGTGATGAATCACTGAATTGTACTCCTGAAACCAATATTGTACTGTATGTTAACTAACTAAAATTTAAAGAAAAAGAAAAAAACCCATTATTTCCCTAATGATGAGTGATGTTGAGCATCTTTTCATGTGCTTATTGGCTGGCCATCTAAATATCTTCTCTGGAGAAATGTCTGTTTAAGTCCTTTGCCCATTTCTGAATTGAGTTGTTTGTTTTTATTGTTATTGTTGAGTTTTGGGAATTCTCTATTCTGGATATTAATCCCCTGTCAGATATGTGATTAGCATTGCTGATATTTTTTCTCAGGTTGTCTTTTCACTTTGTTGACAGTGTCCTTTGATGCAGAAAAGTTTTAACTTTCATGAAGTCCAGTTTTTTTTGTTTTGTTTTTGTTTTTGTCACCTGTGCTTTTGGTGGCCTATATAGTCAAATTGCTTTTTTTTTTTTTAAGACAGTGTACCAAAATAACTCAATAGAGAAAAAATATTATTTTTGATAAATACTGCTAGAATAGTTGGATGTCCACATGCAAATGAATGAAGCTGGATCCCTACCTGATACTCCATATAAAAATTAAGTCAAAATGGATCAAAGACCTAAATGTAAGAGCTAAAACCCTAACACCCTTAGAAGTATATAGGCAAATCTTCATGATTTAGCAATAGATTCTTAGAAATGACATCAAGAGCACAACCAATAAAAAGAAAAATAGATAAATTGGACGAGAGTTAAAACTTGTGTCATCAAAGGACATTATGAAGAAAGTGAAAAGGCAAAATGGGAGAAAATATTTGTAAATCATAAATCTGATCAGGGTCTGGTATTCAGAATGTATTAACAACTCTTACAACTCAATAACAAAGAGACAGATAACCCAATTTAAAAATAGGCAAAGGACTTGAACAGACATTTTCCCAAAGAAGGTATACAAATGGTCAAAAAGCATGTGAAAAGATAATCAGCATCAGTAGTCATCAGGAAAAGTAAATAAAAACCATGAGATACCACTTTGCACCCACTAGAGTGGCTATGCTTGTAAAGACAGAGAACAAGTGTTGGCTAGGACATGGAGAAATTGGAACCTTCATATACTGCTGGGAGAAAGTAAAATGATGGAATCACTTTGGAAAATAGTTTGGAAGTTACTCAAAAAGTTAAGCATAGAATTTACCATGTAACCTAGCAATTTCACTCCCAGGTTTATTTCCAAGAAAAATGAAAACATATGTCTACCCATAAAATTGTACTTGAATGTTCATAGCAGCATTATTCATAATAACCAGTGGAACCAGCCTAAATATCCATTTATGTGATAAATGCCAAATGATAAATGCCAAATACCCAAAATGTGGAGTAGTCATCCAGTGGAAAGGTACTCAGTGATAAACAGTACTGATACATGCTCCAACATGGATCAACCCTGAAAACATTATTCTAATTGAAAGAAGCCAGATACAAAAGGCCATATGTGGTTTGTTTCCATTTAAATGAAATGACCAGAATAGGCAAATCTATAGAGACAGAAAGTAGAAAAGTGATTGCCAAGGTCTGGAATAGGGAAACTGGGAATGATTGCCAGTGAATATCGGGTTTGTTTTTGGAATGGTGAAGTTCTGGAATTAGTGGTGGTTGCATAACTTTGTAAATATGCTGAAAACCATTGAATTATTCTCTTCAAATGGTGAATTTTATATGGTATGTGAATTATATCTCAATTAAAAAGGTTAAAGATGCTTTATCATGCTCTTTCTGTCTTCGGTTCTGAAACCCACTTGAGCAAGATTTTACTTTCTGTCAATTAGCTACTATTTGTGCCTCTTTTGAATACTTTCAAACTCATGGCAAAATTTGCCTTACTAGGCCAAGATGTACCTACAACATTCAAGGGTAAAAACATAAAAGAACAAAACATCTTTCCTCCCACATAGCCTGCCTTTATGTGGTATGCTGGTCTCTGACTTTAGTAGGTGTTTTGTGAATAAGAGGTTTCACAGTCAGATAAATCTGGAAAATGCAGTTAAATGTGTTGCTTAATTTGGAGCCAGTGTATATTACTGGGTAAATTCTGCCTCCCCTGCATCTTTGGTGGAACACACTCCTTGAAATTGCTGTGGGAATTAAGTCAATATTTTGAAATCTTACTCTGAATCAGATCACAGTTTGTGTTAATGCTGTTCAATTTACTTAATAGACACTAAACTGTTTCTTTATGACTTTGATGTTTTTATGTCCTTACAACTTTGCTTCTACCCTTTGTAATTTATCAGATCCTAAAGTATAGTCCGGAGACCCCAGGGGCCCCAAGACCTTTCAGTGGGTCTGCTAGATCAGAACTGTTTATTCTTACTCTGTCACAGGTATATGGTGAAGCTTTCCAGAGATATCCATGTGATACCTCAACAGATTGAATGCTAAGAGAGACAGTTATTAAAGATATTTGTAGAAATGTAAAACACTGCAACTCTTCTCAGTAAATTGTTTTCATTTTAAAACTGTATATTTGATTAAACTATGTTGTTTATGTTAATGTTAATGGGTTTATTATTTTAAAATGAATTCATATAGGCTTAAAAAACATTGATCTGTTTTAAATTTTTAACTTGATAAATATTGATAGATATAATTTCAATAAAGAATAGCTCTTGGGGGTCTTCCTGAAACCAAAAAGTTTAAAAACCACTCATCAAGATAATTAATGAGAGCCATTTGTGAAGTTTAACATACTAAAGCCAGATTAATGGAACAATTATCCATCTATCATAACTGATAGGCAGAACCTTCAGGTATGCATTCTGGAAAGGTTTCAAGTCAGGTGAAGAAGTTGTGACTTTGTTACTTTCTGATTTTTAAGATTGTATACATATTTCACAAGATTGCACAAATGTAGTTGGGATGCCACAGGAAAGGTAGTTTTAGGTGTTGGTTTAAAAAAAATTTTTTTTTTCAACATTTATTTATTTTGGGACAGAGAGAGACAGAGCATGAACGGGGGAGGGGCAGAGAGAGAGGGAGACACAGAATCGGAAACAGGCTCCAGGCTCCGAGCCATCAGCCCAGAGCTTGACGCGGGGCTCGAACTCACGGACCGTGAGATCGTGACCTGGCTGAAGTCGGACGCTTAACCGACTGCACCACCCAGGCGCCCCTAGGTGTTGGTTTAAAAAGATGTCACATAGAACATCCGAAGAAGATGGCAGAGTAGGAGGAGCCTAGGCTCACGTCATCCCACAGACACACCTACCTAATAACCACATCAGCATAAATAACCCAGAAAACGACCTGAAGACTGGCAGAACAGATTCTCCACAGCTAGAGAAGAGGCCACATCCAAGAGGCGAATAATAAATCTAAGCAGTTAAATAATTAGTAAATAAATAAATAAGTTACATAAATATCATTAAACCATATGCAATTAAAGAATTATTGAAACCACTAATTTTGGTGTTAGGCTACATGTTATAATCTGTTCACTATACGTAGGTTAATAACCTGGCAATATCTTTGGATGTTAAACCATGTCTCATTTGGATTATTTATTCTTTCTTTTTTTTAAGTTTATTTAATTTGAGAGGTGGGGGAGGGTCAGAGAGCAAGGGAGAGAGAGAGAATCCCAAGCAGTCTCCATGCTGTCAGCTCAGAGCCAGACACAGGGCTTGAACTCATGAACTGTGAGATCATGACCTGAGCCGAAACCAAGAATGGGAGGCTTAACCAACTGAACTACCCAGGCTCCCCTGATTATTAATTCTCAAGTAGTTTGGCAGCTTTTGAGATACCTGGAAACTTTCATTTTCATAAATACCGGATTTTAACATTGGATTTCCAAGTCTAAAAGCAGACTTTTTTAACCTTTGATTGATAGAAACTCACAAGATTTAATATCTTTCCTCCTGTTGTGTGAGGAAGATAGACACTAAGTAATACTAAAACGTTGCCCTTGTTTTTATTCACAGCTGGGGCTGGACTTGGAAGAACTGGAGGAAATAGAAGAGGACGCCGGCCTTGGGAATGGAGGCCTGGGGAGGCTGGCAGGTAAACCCGGCACCTGGCTAGTGCACAGTCTCTCCTGGTGTAATGCCCTGGCCACTGCTCACATGGCGAGGCAGAGGTCAGCCGTGCTCTGAACAGCAGTCTGTCAGTGTAGATTGGCCCCTCTGAGTGGATGGGAGAGTGTGTTTCATCCACATTGAAAAAAATGCAAAATATTATGTTTTTCCTTTATACAAGGGATACTTCCTAATTATCATGAAAACCAGGCTTGCTGGTTTTTGGGTAGCTGGCCCTGGGAGGGGGTTTCCAGTATACTGACCACTTTCCGCAGCCAGTAATTGGGAGAAAGATGGATAGACACATATGTGCACACATATACACATACATATATGCATGTGTGCACACACACATTCACATACACATGTACACACATACACACACACATGATTTATGAATGTAGGTATGCTATTCCTGCTTTACTGTAGTAAACAGATTGCCTGGAAATAGCAGAGTCATTCCTTTCAGGGTATTGCTCCCTTGGGCCATTCTGTTTGACAGTATATCCAGCCTTGTTTTTCCTGTTTGAGGTGTTTGTTTTGTTTTGTTTTGTTTTGTTTTTTGTTTTTTTGGGGTTTTTTTTTGGTAGCTTTTTTAGGGCAGAGGGAGCTGAATGAAGAACTTAGAAGTGGAGGGGCACCTGACTGTCTAAGTCAGAAGAGCAAGCCACTCTTAATCTCAGGGTTGTGTTTGAGTCCCACGTTGGGTGTAGAGATTACTAAAAAAAAAAGTAAGTAAACTTAAAAAAAAACCCAGAACTTAGAAGTGGAAATAGCTGTCACAGTGAGATTTGATTTTGCTGTGTGCTTCAAGGCTCTTGGGCACAATGTTTCTGGAACAGAAAAAAGTTTTGTGCTGCCCTTGTGTGTGGGGGGATATGGGAGGGTGGGCTCAGGCCCCTACCACTTTCCATTACTGCCCCTCTGGGGAGTTGTCATTTTCTAAAGGGATCAAACACCCTAAAGTTTATCTGAGCTTGTGCATGTGCCTTTGTTTTCAAATGTTAAGTTAAATTCTTCAGAAATTATAAATGCAGCATATATTTCTCCCAAACAAAACAGTACATAGATTTATATAAGGAAACAGTTTGCAAGGCCTGCCCCACCTCCACCTGTTGATGTGAAAAGCTTGTGTGTCACCTACTGCTCTCAGATGCAGGGCTCTGTCTTAGTTTATGGCAGTGAAATCATCCCAGACAATAAGCTGTAGCTTACTTTCCACACAGACCCGATCATGGCATCCCAGCCAGAGGGCAGCGTGTAGCCCTGAGGGAGCTCCTGGGTCATCAGTCCCCTGCGGCTCCCTTTACCCTCGATAGCATTCTGTTGATTATAGCCATCTTCCCAGTCAGTAAAAACAGCACCTGTTTCTCCAAGCCCAGGAGGCTCCAGACCCTTCGGTCTCCTTCACAGCTCAGGTAGCTGCCTAAACTCCCCTCCTACCCTAAGGCTGGTGACTGTCAGGCAGGACAGTCCCATCCCTGCTGTAACACAATCTGCTCCCTTCAGGGGTTCAGGGCATCTGCAGGCCTTCCATAGTCTGGTTCCTATTGCCTTCCTAGTCACCTTTCCTGCCACTTGTGCGGTGCCACTGGCCTTGCCCATGGACTGGTGTGACCTCTGGGGCCCTGTTTCCATGGACTCCTCTTACCTGTGCAGATGTGGGTAGCCCCCAGCCTGCTGTAATTTGATGTGTCCTGTGGCCCTCCTGAGAGAATGCTTTCTTCAGAACAAGATTCCAGATCTTACATTTGTGGATCCTCTTATTCCTCAGCACAGGGTCCTTAGATCCTCAGCACAGGGTCTAGTAACAGGGGTCTGGGCATACTTGGTGAATTGAGCAAGTATTTTATTTACTGATGTTTCTTGTGGACTTTTTTTCCTTTTTAATCCAGAAGTTTAATAAGACTGCCTTCTGGATCTTTATTTAAAACACTGGTCTTTTTCAAGACATTTTCATTGGAACAAAGGCTTATTAGGTTGATGTGCTGCTCCAGCCACGTTCCAGGGGCCTTGGGTGTTTGAGTTCTTTTATGGTAAAATGTCCATTCCCAGCCCCATCCTCGTGCCTCCTTCACTAGCGTGTAGAGCTAGTTCGTGGTGTTACCCCACTGTCCAAACAGCATGGACAAGTAGAAGGTGCAGGGGTGGGGAGGCCTTCAGCCTGTATGAGCTCTCTAAGACAAAGGTAGCAGTGAGGGGACTTTGTGTTGAAAGGTGTGCCAAGTTAGATGAGACTCTCTGGGGTTCTTCACTTCTGACCTTCCCATCTCCCCACAGCCCCCACACTAACACCCTCTTGGCCCAGACCATGGCTCTCAAGGTGAAGGGATTGAGGGAGGGCTCAGTTTTACTTTCATGAAATCTGAAGCTGACAGGTTACCACCGAATCGCTGTCTGGCATCCAGAGGCCAGTGTCCCAGTACCTACTTAACATGGGTGTCTGGGCCTTGCTTCCAGTGGGCCTCAAAACTGCTAATTATCTTTGATTCCAAGAAGTTCTTTGTGTTTGGAATTTTCAGCCTGCTTCCTTGACTCAATGGCCACGTTGGGCCTGGCAGCATATGGCTATGGAATCCGCTATGAGTTTGGGATTTTTAACCAGAAGATTGTCAACGGCTGGCAGGTGGGTGAAACTCGGTTCTTTCACTTGTTTCCACCTCTCATGTGCAGAAGAAAACAAACAGGTACTTTCAGTTCAGTTTTTTATATTATAAATTCCTTCCTGGAGAGATTGTCTGCCCGTCCTGGGCAAGGCAGAGGTGGAATAGGTTGGGGGTATCCTGTGAGCTTCGTGCTTCCCTTAGAGCTCTATGTGGGCTGCCAGAGGCCCATCTTCTGTGTGAGCTCATCACACACAGCTTCTGTGTGAGCCTGGGAAGCCTGCTGGGTGGGACCCAGGGCCTAACTGGCCTTATAGGTATTGCCAGGTGCTGCCTGCTGGTTCCCTGTTGTACCTCAGCATGGAACAGAGGTGGCCCTCTGGTTTACCCTCAGTGGGACAATTGACCTGGAGTAGTTAGAAGAAGAGTTATTGTAGGTTTTGTTCCCACCTTCTGCCTTCACTCCCCGACACCACTGAGGGGACTGTGTCCTGTGCCAGCCTCTGCAAAGCAAAGTGCCTTGAGGAAGAGTGGGCTTAGATCCTGAAATATCAAACCATAGCTAAGTGAGGTGGCCAAGAACACATTGGTGGAAAGAATATAACCTCACAGTGCAACCTCAATGTCCTACACTGGGCAAGAGGGTCATTTCCCCTCATTCAAAACTTTAAAATGGGGGCACCTGGGTGGCTCAGTTTGTTAAGCATCCAGCTCTTGGTTTTGGCTCAGGTCATGATCTCACAGTTTGTGAGTTCAAGCCCCAAGTGGGGCTCTGTGCCGACAGCACAGAGCCTGCTTGGGATTCTCTCTCTCCCTCTCTCTGCCCCTCCCCTGCTCATGCATTCATGTGCATGCTCTCTCTCTCTCTCTCTCTCTCTCTCTCTCTCTCAAAATAAATAAAGTTAAAAAAAAAAGACTTTAAAATCGAAGGTATGGCTATTCCACTTGATTAGAAAATAGTTTATGTAATATAATTTGGCTCCTAAAAATGACAGACAAAGCAGGGCTGTGGTTGGGATTAAAGGTTTGTAACAGGAGAATAGTATAGAATATAAACAGATGGATGCCTGGGGTGATGGAAAGCTCCTGTATCTTGATGAGGCTGTGTCACAGGTACATGCAATTGACAGAACTCCTCAAGAGTATCCTTAAGGTTTACACATTTTGCTGTCTATATATTAACCTAAAAAATAAACACAGGGTGAACTGTACTTAATGAGGTGCATGCTGAAGTGTTCGTGGAGAAGTGTACAGATGTCTGCAACTGACTTTGAAATGCATCAAGAAATTAATGGGTCGATGGATGGAGGATATGTGATAAATCAAGTATAGCAACATGTTAACAATTATGGAACCTAAGTGGAAGGTGCGTGGGTGTTCACTGCCAATTCTTTTAACACTTCTTTATGTTTGAAAGCACTCATAATAAAAAGTTGGCAAAGAAAAGTATGGCTAACAGTAAAAGAAAACATAACAGATTTGTATCTATTGCTTAATTTGTAGAAGTACTCTCTCCAGCCTTAAAGAGAACTCCACTCTTCCTCCTGGTACATTACAGGTAGTTTCATGCACAGTTCCTTATGTGTGTGTGTCTGTCAGAGGCACCCCAGCCCTTGTACCCCTGTGTCCTTTAACCCATTCCAGCTCCTTACAGTCGATGCAATGTGCTTTCATAAGACAGAAACTCTGAGGCCCCTCCTTACCTACTTGGTGTTATGGTTAAAGGCAGAAAGGTTTTTTGTGTTGTTTTTTTGTTTGACCACAGACATTTCTTTCTTCTGGTGTTCTATTTCTGTATATTATTGCCATCTTGCAAAACAATTTAAAGACAGTTGTGGGATGATAAACTCACCCTCCTCTCACCCTGTTTTCATGAGAGCCAGTCAGTTTTTAATGGAGTTTAGCTGTAGCATAATTAAATGTGGGCAGTGGTCAGACAGCAGTGTTGTTGGCCGTGGGGCAGGGAGAGGGGTCTGGAGAGGACACCCTCCTGCCTCTTGTACTTGAGGAGATGCTGCTTCTGCAAACAACTCATGGAATTACGTTACAGGAGATGACCAGGCTTTGGTGTTGGAGAATTTCACTAATGTACAGACATGGCACCAGATCAAAAGGCAGGACTGGTCCCATGATGAATAGCTACCTGCACCAGACAGAAAAGCCCAGCCAGAAGTACTATGGAGAGACACATATTCAGGCAATAACATCAGCTGTGTCACCTCCCTAAAACTGCAACCAAATATTCTTCTTTTACTTCTGTGTAGGAACCATTAAGAAAAAAAACCCAGAGCGCCTGGCTGGCTCAGTTGGTCGAGTGTGCGACTCTTTGATCTTGGGATCATGAGCTCAAGCCCCACATTGGGTACAGGGCTTACTTAAAAAAAAAAAAAAAAAAAAGACAAACGAATAAAAATTTTTGAAAACCCTCAAAGTAACATACAGGCACACCTTATTCTGTTGCACTTGGGTTTATTGCGCTTCACACATAATGCATATTTTACAAATTGAAAGGTGTGGCAACTCTGCATCAAACAAGTTTGTTGGCCCCATATTTTCAACAGTATTTGCTCACTTTGTCATTTTGGTAATTCTCACAATGTTGCAGACTTTATTATATTGTTCTGGTGATCTGTGATCAGTGATTAAAACTTGCTGAAAGCTCAGATGATGGTTAGCATTTTTTAGCAATATTTTTAAATTAGGTATGTACATTGTTTTTTTAATAATTAATTAATTAAATTTTGGGGGGAGAGAGCATGTACAAATGAGTGGGAGAGGGAGAGAGAGAATCCCAAGCAGGCTGCATGCCCAGCGCAGAGCCCCCACATGGGGCTTGATCTCACAACTGTGAGATCATGACCTGAGCCGAGATCAAGAGTCAGATGCTCAACTTGACTGAACCACCCAGGTGCCCCTGGGCACATTGTTTTTTAAGACATAATGCTGTTGCACACTTAATAGACTACAGTATAGCATAAACAAAACTTTCATATGCACTGGGAAACCAAAAAATTCATTTGACTCTCTTTTGCTAAATTGGCTTTATTGTGGCAGTCTGGAGCCAAATCTGCAATATCTCTGAGTTATGCCTATACCTGGGGTTATTTGTTAAATTTGAAGAAGAAAGACTCACTTATTTAATTTATATTTATAATTCTTTATACATTGCCTGCCAAATTAGTTTATTCCGAATGCTTCTACTCAAGGATTATTAGACTCTGTGGGGTTACTTTTAGTTTTATTGGTGGGATTCTTTTTTGTGTATTTACTGATTTTGGATACCACTAAGTGCAGTTTTTGGAAAATTAGCTGCTTCAAGGAAGGCCTAGCACAAAAGCAATGTCTTCTAGTTGTGTGTGTCCAGACATTCGTGCTACAAAGGCAGCCTGGCCCCTGGCACCTGTGAATTTGTGGTGTCATTTTCAAAGTGGTGGACTTCTAGTGATTTTTTTTTTTTTTTTACTATAACAGCTTTATTTAGTTATCAAGTGTTTTTTTAATATATTTACAAAGTTGGGCAGCCATCACCACTATCTATTTCCAGAACGTTTTCATCACCCCAAAAAGAAATCCAGCATGGATTTGCCGTCACACACTAGCACCTGACAACCATTAATCTATCTGGTGTCTCTATGCATTTGGCTGTTCTAGACATTTCCTATGAATGGAGCCATACACTACATGGGCCTCTTTGACTCAGCGTCTTTGCAGGGTTTATCCATGTTGTAGTACGCAGCAGAACTTTATCCTTTTTTATTGCTGAATTCAGGTTGTTCTTAATGTCTTTTTACTTTAATGCATTCTTCTGAATTTTATCTGAGTTTGTTTCTTTAATAGGACGACATGTTAATTTTTAAACACGAGGCCTTGACTGGAACTGGACATCTTTGCCTTGTAAATAGGCTATAGTTTATTTCAGTGCTGGATGGCGTCGGTATCTCAACAGCATGGTCATTGTGGGCAGTGGAAAGGGGTGGCCCTGCGCCCATGACTGTCTCCCCACTGCCACCTGAGAGAGCTGACCTTACGACCGGCCCCTTTCCAGGTGGAGGAGGCAGATGACTGGCTGCGCTATGGCAACCCCTGGGAGAAAGCCCGGCCCGAATACATGCTTCCTGTGCACTTCTACGGGAGAGTGGAGCACACCCCTGAGGGTGTCAGGTGGCTTGACACTCAGGTATCCACCCTGGGCATCCCCAGGGAAGTGTGGGGCTGAGTGAGGTGGCTGCCACATTTTGTCATCACTCCTCATTCCCTTTGGGAGTGGGAGGTGTGCTGTTTCCCCACAGGACCTGACCCAAGGTGACTGCCTGGGAGGTTTTGTTCTCATACACTCAATTCTTACACATTGTCAGGGCTGCCCAGACAGTGGAAAACACTCAGTGTGAAGCCACTGTCTTTGCAGTTTAATAGGGGCTTGTGTTGGGGTTCAGACCAGCAGTCATTGAATGGCTAGCAGGACAGTGTTGTGACAGGGGCAGGGTGTTAATCCCTGGAGGGACATGGATAGTCCCCAGCATCTCTAGACAGCAGGTGCTTGATGCATGCATTCACCACAGTCACCACACACCACAGACCTCAGTAGTGTCTCCTGGGTGCCGCCCACCATTACTGAGCTATCAGAGTCCTGGGCGTGTGGTGGTCTGGATGGATGTCCCAGCACAGGGCACAGGCACTGATGAGGGAACCAGGGCAAGAACACGGAGAGTCCAGTCCAGGCTCTGGAATGGTGGACAGTGCACATCTGAGTGGTTTCAGCTAAGGGACTGAGAGAGGTAGCAGGAGAGCTTTTGTGAGGGGGTAGCTGTAATGAGCAAGGCTCAGCCATCTAGATGTGGGGCAATGAGCCCAGGAGACTGGAGAAGTCCCAAGCATGCAAAAGTGAGTCATCCAGATTTTCTGCAGCATAAGTTTTAAGGAGTGCATGGGCTAGGGTTGGCTGGAGCCATGTTATGGAGGCCTAAAATGCCATAATAAGTTGTATTTAATTCAAAAGAGGAGAGAATAAGATCAGTTATCTGATTGCATGTGCTTGTAGAAGATGAGCATGTCATGTATGTAGGGAGGCATAGAGACCGTTGGGACATTTCTGTCAGCCCTGGGCTGTTAGGGATGCTTTGTAGGGCTTGTCACTGGCTTGGATAGGGCCTTGGGGGGCAGGGGAGCAGGGAGCAGGGGTGAGGGTAGAGGGGAAAGGAAAAGTGATTCTAAGGCTCTAGTGATGCTATCAACACAGTCCTTTTGGCTGTCAGAGCCGCTTTCATCTCGTAAAGCCACATAGTTGAACTTGTATGAGCCCCCGTGAGCGTACCTGAATGTGAGAAACCTCATCAGAGGATCTGAGGGTTGGAAGTGACCTTGAGGCTGGTGTGTGTCTTCCTGTGCTTGACAAGAGTAAAGCAGATACTTGTGGACAGACTGGAATCGGGGGTGGGAGGAGCGTGGCAGGTTCTGTGGGTAGAGAGCAGGCCCTGCATTTTCTGTTGTGAGTGGAGTGTGGGTTGGTTTGGTTTCTCTGAGGGTTAGAGGTCAAGTCTCCCAACAGGAGGAGACTTTGGCAGGCATTGGAAAATGGAAGTCAGAAATAGAAGTCCTCTGTGGAGAAGTTAGTTTGGGTCATGAAACTACACAAGTGGGTCGAGTGAGAAGAGGAAGGAGGGCAGAGAGAGGACAAGGACACTGGAGTCATGACTGCTAACAGAGTGTGAGTGAGGTTGACACAGTGGCACCTTGAAGATCTGAGTGGGAAGAATTCTTAAATCAATGCCAGTGTGGAAGGAGGAGAAGCTAGAGAAGACAGAATGACCTCAGGAGTGTGGTCAGGGCCTTACTGCAGAGCCATCACAGGTGGTCTTAGTTGGGGAGGCCTGCAGGCTTGGCACAGGGCAGGTTGCAGGGATTTGGGGCACAAGGAGAAAAGCCAGAGGGCAAGCAGGTTGGCCACCAACGGGGAGCAGAATGCTGCTGCTGGGGTGAGAAGGCCTGGGACTGGGGACTGTGTTGCTAGCTGACTGGATCTGACCATCTCTCGGCCAGGTGGTGCTGGCCATGCCGTATGACACCCCTGTGCCGGGCTACAGGAACAACACCGTCAACACCATGAGGCTGTGGTCCGCCAAGGCACCCAATGACTTCAAGCTCCATGACTGTGCGTTCTGACCCTCTTATTTCTGTTGGATGGCTTCTCCCAAACTCGCCCCGTGAAGCTCTTGTCTTGTCTGCACTATCACTGCTGTGCAAAGCACAGGACTCTCAATGTGGAGGCCAGAGGGCAGTGTCCTCAGAGCACCAGGGCTTCCCAGGGAGAGCCCACCAGCAAAGCCACTGCTTGTGGAACCCTGTGCCCTCAGGAAAGACCAAGGGGCTTAGGGCTCTGCAGGATGTGTGGGGGATACAGGTTGGGCCTGGGGCAGAGTGAAACCATGGCTCTGGGAGCACCTTCTGTGCAGGAACGTCCCTCACACAGTTCAGGGAAGTGAGGGAGGACCTTCAGGGAAAGGGCACATGAGGAGTCAAGGGAAGGGATGTGGGTTCTGACCTCACTGTTTCTGCCCCTAGTTAATGTGGGAGGCTACATTGAGGCGGTCCTGGACAGGAACCTGGCCGAGAACATCTCCAGAGTCCTGTATCCAAATGATAATGTGAGTATCTCATGTGGTTGCTTCTCTTCTGCTAGGAAAGTGTGCTAGGGGCTGGGGCTGTCTAGAAGGACCTATTTGCTGGCCTCCCATTCATCAGGTGAGACCACGTAAGTAGCTACTAGCAGCCCTGTGTGGCTCCTTGGAGTGAGGGCACCACAGCATGCTTGACAAAGCCCCACAAGTCCAAGTGTGCCTGTTAGCATCTCCCCTTTGCTCTCTCCCTAAGAGGATACAGCAGGAGGTTCTTGGCCTTGCCTCACATGTCTATACTGCTGTGTACCCGGCTGCCCCTGAGGCTGGCTCTGAGCTGACTCTGTGCAAGACCATATGCAGAGCAACGTGTGGGGGATGTGGGAACTCGTCAGACCTCACGTCCAGTCAGTTTCTGCTCTTCTGGCATGTGATGCCACTTCCCCAGGAGTTGGATGAGCTATTTCTCAAATGGGAATAGCAGTCCCTGCTTTTCAGTGATGCCTTGAGACATACGCCAGTCATGGTTCGAAAAGCTTTAATTATGTGCCACCACCCACTAGATGAAGTAACAATCACAGTCCCCAGTGATTGCTACTGAGTTTAGTGTCTGGTGGCTTTGTTGTTGCCAGACAAGAGCCCTTAGAATTTGCCTTTGTTAGTGGGTTGTGTGTTCTTTGTTTTATCAGAGTAACAGGTGCACATTAGTAGCAAAGGGAATTGGTGTTGAAAGGCTCACAACCAAACATACCCCATTCCCCCTTCCCCTGCCAAGATTTTAAGCAGATTCTAAAGCTTCAGGTACAAGGCATTTTTAGGACACTGACACTTTGGAGCTTGTGCTTCTGAGTGGCTCTGGCTGTTAAGGAACAAGACCTGCATGCCTGGTGTCCTCACACAGGGCACCATGACCATTTGCTGGCTGCTTCCCTATCTGAAGATCACACACAGGTCAGGCCATCTAGACCTTCTGCTTGTGCCCCTGAGCTGCAGGTTACCTGACCTTGGGCCCTGGGATGGTGGTGATGGAGGTGTCAGCACCATGCTGACACTCAAGGGCTCTCGTCCTCTCATGCACACATGGGTCTCTATGGTCCCTGGAGCAGGGCCTCCCAGCCTCGTGCCCTTCTTGAGCCCTGGGGTGGGGGTGGGGGGGTCCCTGAGGACCTGTGGTGGCCCTGGTGGCTGTTGTTGGTGCCAGCGCTGTCCTGTGTCCACAGTTCTTCGAGGGAAAGGAACTGCGCTTGAAGCAGGAGTACTTTGTGGTGGCTGCTACCCTCCAGGACATCATTCGCCGCTTTAAGTCCTCCAAGTTTGGCTGCCGGGACCCAGTGAGAACCTGTTTTGAGACATTCCCAGACAAGGTGGGTGTTGATGGGTCTTGTGCAGAAGGACAGGACATTCCCAGGCTTGATTTCTATCTCAAGGCTGGGCGTGGGTGAGGAGAGGACAGCATCCCCCCTCATTTCCTTGTCATCAGGGGCCAGGCCCCCTCCTCTCTGACCAGGGCCACACTAGGTGTCCTTAGGAGCAGCAAGGGACACTGTAAAAGGTTCCCATGGCAAAGCGTGATGCATTTGATGGGCTGGGTTTAGTGATTTTAAACAAAGCCAACATATCCTCGGTGAGAGGAACATTCTGGGTCAGGGGGAGCTGTGGAGAGCAGAAGAGCCTCAGTGGGGTGCCAAAGGTCCTACTGCAGAGCCAGCCCATGGGGTCTTCCCAACCCTGCCCTGTTGTCCTCCCTGCTCCTTGGCTGGTTTTCAGGCTAGGTTCAGCATCTGTGCCATAGGGCTCCCTGCTGTCAGCCCTATGGATCAGGCTCCTCAGGGGTGGGCAGCTGTGGACCCTGATTCTGCACACACTGACCACCATGGCACCCATGCAGATGCAGGCAAGGGGATTGAGGGGGATCACCCTGTGTAAACTGCAGGTTGCCATCCAGCTGAATGACACCCACCCAGCCCTTGCCATCCCTGAGCTCATGCGGATACTGGTGGATGTGGAGAAAGTAGACTGGGACAAGGTAAGCACTGAAGACAAGGGCACAGGGCTGGGCACATGGGGTGACTGTGTTCCCACACTGATGGGCATGTGGAGTGACACTGTCCCTGTCACAACTGGGTATATAAGGTGATAGTGTTCCCTGCAGACCTGGGCACACAGGGGTGACAGTGTCCCCTCACCTTCCAGCCTGTCCCAACAACAGTGGTGAGTACTGAGCTGGCCCTAGGATGTTGAGGAAGGCCTATCCCCTGTGGCCTGGGGAGTACAGAGGGACATTGTCCTTGAGAAGCAGGGCCATGAGGAGGCGGATGTTCCAAGAGCAGGTCTGGGGTTTCTCCCAAGGGACTAAGACACCATAGGTGGAGCAGTGGCACAAAGGCACAGAAGAGCAGTTTTCTGGAAGACTGGGAAAAAATTCTGACACGTCTTAGAGCTTTTCACGTACATTTTCTCATCTTAGAATTGTGGCAAGAACCACAGAAGTATTAAGTGTAAAGAAACACATTGTTTAAATTTTTTATAAGTTCTTCTGACTCAACTTATTTGGTCCTGGATGCTTGTAAAGCAAGATTTTCTTGATCTAGTTTAAATCAACTATAAGACTTTAGAACGATTTTCATGTCATTTTGTAGAACCCAGAGCCCCCTCTGGTTTGGGGTGCACTCCTGGGTGGGGCTGGGCAGTGCCCCAATGGTCCCATCTGCCCCTGGCCAGTGGAGGGAGGCCACATAGTTTCCCAGTGTTTCCAACTGGGTGTGAGATCAGTTTGGTGGAAATAAAGTAGAAAATTGTTTGGTGCTCTGTTTTGTTCACAAACAAAAAATGGTTCACAGAAGAAAAGTGAGTGATGCCAGGTGATGAGGTAAGCATCACTCATTTATGTGTGTGTACTATGTTAGGAAGTAGAATGTTCGTGGTCACGTTGGGAAGGCGAAGGGCATGGGGCTCACTTGTAGGTTTTGAGAAGGTTCTAGATAGCCCCAGAGGGCAGAGATATGTAGCCACCTGGGCCCCTTTCAAGTGGGATCCGAACATCTACCTTTGATGGACTTTTCCCTGAGCATCTGGTAGAAAAGCGGATTGTTTCTAAACAAAACAATTTGGAATGTTCTGGAATGTTCTAGGCCTGGGAAATCACAAAGAAGACATGTGCATACACCAACCACACTGTGTTACCTGAGGCCTTGGAGCGCTGGCCTGTGTCCATGTTTGAGAAGCTCCTGCCACGGCACCTGGAGATCATCTACGCCATCAACCAGAGGCACCTTGATGTGAGCAGGGTGGGGGTGGGTATGGGTGGGAGCTTTAGGGATGCTGCCCCCGAGATGACCACCCCTCCTGTCATGATTGGGGATGGGGGTGGTGGGCTGCACCTGTACCTGGAAGAGGTGGAGGTTCCTCCTGTCCTCTATGTGGAATTGTCTGGCCTGCGACATGTATCTTCTTGCATGGAATAGCCCTCTGTCCAGCAGAGGGCTTTGGGGTCCAGGGGCCGTTGCTGGGTAAATCTTTTCCCCAGACCTAGACCCCTGCTGTGTATGTGGGAGTCGTGGATTTAGGTCTTTTTGAAATGTTCTCATTCCCATGTGGGGCTCAAATGTAAGAGTCTGTTCCTGGAATGCCAGAGGCCTTGGTCCTGAGACACCATAGCAGCATTTGGATGATTTGGAAATAAAGCAGCATTTGTCTTTCCTCTGTTACCCATGGAGAGAAGAGTGCTACAGGGAAAGGGGAACTTAGAATCCAGGTGTGCTTGTTCAGTCGTTTAACCTTTTGGTGAAAAAGTAGCCGTTCCCAATTGGTCAGACCTTGCCTAGGCCAACAGGGCAGCACTCTCGTCTTTTCCTTCTAAGTCACATGGCACATCTTAGCACCACGGTCCTCCTGTCACCTCCCACAGAATAGCTCTGTCGAGTCCTCTGGCCAGTCAGGCCTTTCCCTGGGCTGCAGCAGTGTGGAGGAGCTTCCTGCTACGCCCGGGGCTCTCAGAGGTGCATCCAGGGAGTTTGAATGCATGTCTGGGGTGCAGCAACCTTGGGATTTTCTTGGAGGAGGCAGAACATCCCATGGGGGCCCCTGGGCTTCCTGTTCACCACTTGCTCACCTCCTGCTCTCTGACTTGGCTACAGCACGTGGCTTCCCTGTTCCCTGGGGATGTGGACCGCCTGCGGAGGATGTCTGTGATCGAGGAAGGGGACTGCAAGCGGATTAACATGGCCCACCTGTGTGTGATCGGGTCCCACGCTGTCAACGGCGTGGCGAGGATTCACTCAGAGATCGTGAAGCAGTCAGTGTGAGTGGAGCCAGCATTTGCGCTGACCTGGGTGTACCTTCTTCTTGACCCTAGACTCGCCTCTGGGCACTTTTGGCAGCCATACACACAGTGGCTGGGGCATGTTGCCCAGGCTCCACACTTGCTCTCCTGCCCTCACAGGTACTGTCTGAACTGCCCGGGGCATATTATTCAGTGGCTGAGGACACTGTGGGCAATGTTAGGGCGTTGAGCCTTTGAGTTATCACCAGTGCCACCTCCTCTTTTCTGTGTCCTCTGTCTGTCCAGACAGATGCTCTGTCTTGGAGCCATCTGCTGCTGGCCAGGTGCCAGGAGTGCCCTGCTCAAGAGTGTCCCAGGTTAGGGCAGGAGGAGTCAGGGCTCGTCAGCAAGAGGAAGGAAGAATTCTTAGGTCAGATCTCCCAGTGTTTTCCCTCCCTCTTTTGGTGGGACATGATTTTGAAACTCCTTCCTGCCATCCTTGACCCAGATGTATGTAGAGTACCTCCGTGAGCACCAGGTAGACCCCAGACCAGGTCTGTCTGTGTGGAGGCTTCTGTGTTCCTGGTACCAGCCCAAGCGCTTCATGTGTTATAGTCTTTAGATCCTCACAGCAAGCCTCTCAGAGAGGTGCGTCCCCATTTTACATATGAGGAAACTAAACCCTGGTTCTCAAGCTCTATGATAGCCCGTACCCTCTTCAATGTCACATTCACTGTGGAAGATGGCCAGGTTCCATTACCTGTGTGGTTATTGCTATGTGACTAACTGTGCAGTGCTTTGAAAAGCATGTGCTCCATGCTTACTGTTCTCAAAAGAGGGCAGCAAGGCTGACTGCTCTGTGCTCCTTAGAAAACAACAAAAAAACTGAGCTTAGTGATCTTCCAGTGGGATTTCTGAATGTTCTCTTGCTCACCTTGTTTGTTGTGACATTTGTCTGTTTCCTGTGTTTTAGCTTTAAGGATTTTTATGAGCTCGAGCCAGAGAAGTTCCAGAATAAGACAAATGGCATCACACCCCGAAGGTGGCTGCTCCTGTGTAATCCGGGGCTAGCCGACACCATTGTGGAGGTGAGACCAGCTGCCTTGGAGTCCCCGGAGAGCTGTGAGCACAGTTAGCACCTTATCTGTTGCCCAAGGCCCTCAGGCCCATCACCAGTGTGTTGACCAGTGGTGGCTCCTGGCCAGGGACCCCAGGTGGGGTCCTGCTGCCACCCAGATGTGGGATTGCTAGGCTGGGCTGGGCAGTCAGTCAATGGCCCGAGAGGCCTGTGCAGGAGTTCAGAAGTGAGGTCCTGGGCTTCAAGAGGGGCTGGGGTGGGATCACCTGGTTGAGCAGCAGCCACAGGCCCACTGAAGAGGTTTTGGGAGGCAGAGATGCAGTGGTTACTGATTGTTCATGTGCTTGTGCACACCAGGTGACAGCTAGCCTTGACAATGCAGTAGGTGGCTGTAGGGTGGTGCCCGCTGAGAGTCTGTGGTAGGGACATTGCCTGCCTGGGCTGCGTGTGTCAGGGAAGGCATCCCTGGAGAAGGGAGAGCAAGACAGATCCAAAGGGCTAAAAGGAGGGAGTTGGGAGCAGTGAATCTCTGTTCCAAGGCCCTGTGGTGGAGGGACGTGGCCCACCCAGGAGCTGGAAGGCCAGTGAGGCTCAGTGCCTGGCGAGGCAGGCAGAGGGAGGACAGGCCTCGGAAGTGGCCAGGGCATTTGCAGGCCAGGAGTTTTCCTCTTGATCCTACATTAGCAGCAGGGAGACTTAGCGGGGTACTTGATGAGAGGTACATTTGGACTGACCACACTGCTATAGTGCAGAAAGTTCAGGGCCAGGAAGTGACTGGAAGGTGCTCCATTATTTCACAGTCTTGGCAGGTGCAGAGCCTTGGGGATGGATGGCAGACAGGGCCCAGGCCAGGAAGAGCCGCTGGGCCACGGTTGGCCCCCAGGTTTGGGGCCTTTCTGTGAAGGGGACAAGGGAAGCTCGTGGGATTGTTGTGGATGTTTGAGCTTGACCAGATTGGGACATAATGTCAGGAACAAGCCCAGGGACTGAGAGGGAGGCTGGGGCAGGGCTGCCCGTGGTGGTCGAGGCCACAGTGTGGGGCTATTTCCCTAGAGCTGGGCTGTGAGAGAAAAGCTGGCCTGGAGCCAAGCCAGAGCAGATCCAGGGAGGAAAGCAGAGGTGGGGATGACAAAATGGAGGACAGTCTTCAGGAGGACAGGTCCTACAATAGGCAGAAGGCATGTATCCCCTTTTTTTTAATGTTTTATTTATTTTTGAGAGAGACAGAGTGTGAGTAGGGGAGGGGCAGAAAGAGGGAGACACAGAATCAGAAGCAGGCTCCAGGCTCTGAGCTGTCAGCACAGAGCCCGACGCCGGGCTCAGACTCACAAACTGCAAGATCATGACCCAAGCTGAAGGTGGCCTCTTAACTGACTGAGCCACCCAGGCACCCCAAGCATGTGTCCCTTTATGATTCTCCAGAAAATCGGGGAGGGTTTCCTGACTGACTTGAGCCAACTGAAGAAGCTGCTGCCATTGGTCAACGATGAGGCACTCATCAGGGACGTGGCCAAGGTCAAGCAGGTAGGCCCAGCATGGGGCGGCATTCCTGCGTGTTCCAGGTATCTGGCCCAGTGACCGCCAAGTCCATCCATCCCACTCAGCCCTCAGGTCATGGAGCAGGCAGGCAGATGGGTGCAGACCCCAGAGCAGCCCGGGCATGCCGTGGCCCCAAGTTCTGCAGGAAGAGCTCATTCCTGGGAGGTGCTCCAAAAGTCTATCTGGTCCTGGCGTCTATGCACGGGTGTGCTGCTTGGCTGCATGAGAGCCTCTCCCCAGGGCAGCCAGCCTCACAGCCAGACAGGCCGGGGCCACTGGAACCCTCCAAACCTGACAGGTGGCAGCCTTGATGGAGAACTCAGTCCCTCATGAGCCTGTGTCTCTGCTGGGCTGCCGCATGGTCTTAGGGCCCTGAAATAGTCCTTCATCCTGAGTCTCCTCCCCCCTGACTGTCCCCATTTGTGTCCTTTATACCACACTCATGACTCCCTTTTATTCTGCTTTTCTTATCCTTTTGCAGGTTTGCCTTTTGGTCTAGTTTTCTGTTTATTTCTGCGACTCTTGGAGTGTGCCCACCTTCAGCACCCCATTCCCCCATCCTCCCTTCCTCAAAATGTCTCCACCCTCAGCTGTGGCCTCTAAGAGTCCCCACCTTGCTGTGTGGCTTGTGGAGGGACAGAGATGTCCCCTTGGCTCTGAGTGGAAAGCTGGAGCCTAGTCAGACCTTGGGGACTTGTGGGGTTCGACCATCTTTGTCCTTTCTCCCCAGGAAAACAAGCTGAAGTTCTCCGCATTCCTGGAGAAGGAATACAAGGTGAAAATCAACCCCTCCTCCATGTTTGACGTGCACGTGAAGAGGATCCATGAGTACAAGCGGCAGCTGCTGAACTGCCTGCACATCATCACGCTGTACAACCGTGAGTGTCCCTGGGGGCCACAGGGCCCTGGCTGCAGCCCTGCACAGTCTTAGTGGGTCCTCCGTGGCGTCATGGGACTCAAAGGTTGGGCTGTATGTTTACTTTAGTTTTTAGTTCAAATTTAGTTGTTTATCATTAGACTTGTCTTATTTGGAAAGATTTTACTTATTAGAGACACTTAAAGTGCACTTAAAACAATGAAATAGAATGTGTTAAATTTATACATGTACCTTAAATTGTTCAGGCAGCATTCAATTATGAGAGCAAACATGAATCAAAGGCCCCCAAAAGTAAATATGAATATTTTTTAGATTTATAAATATAACAAAGCCTTAAGGAAAACCTTGTATTTTAAAATTTTGTAATTTAATGCTGTGACTATTCATTTTGAAAACCAAAGGAACCACAAATATTCTTTTCAAGATGCAAAGCTCCTTTCAAGAACATCCTCCCATGCGCCAGCTACCCCCCACCCCCTGCAGTCCTAGTCTCTGCACGGTCTTGTGTACTTCCCAGGACCTGCCACTTCTGGGCCTGCTTTCCGTGGCGTCCCGTGAGTGCAGCTATTCTACCAGGCAGGTAGCTGGGGGCCTGTGCTCATTGCCACCTCACCATCTCCCTTGCCTGTGCACGCACGGTTTCTCCCTGGTCCATCAGACAGCCTTGATGCTCTGCTGTGCCATCCCAGTCCCCAGCCTGATTTCTGTCACCACCAGCCGTCCTGCCCTGCCTTCCTGCTTTGATTTCCCTTTGGTTCACTACAGCCTTTCCTGTGGACCACGATCTGAATTATTGCTTGTTTAGAACATGGAGGACGGTTTGCAGGTGACGTTGCTGGCTTTACTTTCTTTCCTTAAGCATCTTTCAGGTCTGTCCTGCACTGTCTGGAGGATGGGGCATTGGTGTGTCGTGCTGTCCTGAGTACCTGTGCTAAATTTACTGGGCTGTGTCTTGGTGCTGAGCGTTGTGGGTCAGTTTTCCCTGATGCTCAGGGCATTCTGAATGCATCTACTGTGGTCTTGTATTATTTCTAAGAAGTTTTCTTGAAATGAATTTAAAACATTTGTTAGGTGCAGCTATTCTGGTTTTCTTCTTCTAGGATTCCAGTGAGGTACGTGCTAGGTTCCTTCCACCTATCCTCTTCTTGTCTTTTCATTGCTCTCTGAACTTTTCTAAAGGTCTTTCCTTCTCTGCTATGTTGTCTGCTTTTCTTGTTTCCATCCTTTGTGTGTGCTGTGCTTTCTGTGTCTTGCCTCTCTCTTGGCTTCTTGTCACTCCCGTGTCCTGCCAGTTCTCATTTTGTGCACTTTCATGTCCTGTCCTCCCCCTGAGGTCTTGGTTTCAGCTCCGTGGACTCTTCCAAGCTGACGTCCATCACAGGTTGGAGATTTGAGTATTCTCACTGGGATGTCGGTTTCATTTCTTGTCTGTAGCAAAGCCACGTATTGTTTTTGTTCAAATTTGCCTGAGCTACACCTCCCAGGGCTACCAAAGGGGCTTTGTGGCACCCCAAGGCAGCTGCGGGCACCTCTCTGTGCAGCCGTGGACTCCTGTTTCTCCAAGCCCAGGCTGGTTCAGGAGGCCACCTGCCCTGGCTCCCCTGATTTCTGCCCTGGGGGCCTCTGCCCAGGATGCCAGACCTTCCTCTTGGGTTTCCTAGAGGAGAGGGGCTGGTGAGGTCTGCCCTCCTGGCCCCCGTCCTCCTTCCTGTGCCCCAGACACCAGCCCTGCTGACAGCTCCTCTGAGGAGGCTGGGTCCTGAGACCTCTGTGCTCAAAGCCCTATTCCCCACCCACCCTGTAAACTGGCAGAACTTGTTCAGTGGCCTGGACTTTGTGTCTCTTTCCTCTTTCTGAGTTTTGGTGGAAGTGTAGTTTCTGTTTTATTTTTTCCTATTCTCTCTGTTGTTCTGTCTGATTTCTGGAAACAGGAGGATATCAGAACTAAGGCACAGCCATGTTCTTGGCAGAACCTGGAGTTAGTTCAGCCCCGATTCTCACTGCTCTGGCTGGTTCTTGGCCTCTGGTGAAGGCAGTGTAGGGCTGCCTCACCCCTCTGTGAAGACATCCTCCAATACCTCCCATATACACTGGTACTGAAAGCCAGGGGCCTGGTGAGAACACCCTCAGTCTGCTGGGGCTTCAGGGGAGCTGACTGTTATAACTTGACCCTCTGGCTGCCCCTGTGTGGGAGAGCTTTGGGATAGCCTCTCACCTCTTATCACAGTGAAGGTAGGGGGGCGGGGAACTTGGGGTCTCTCCTGACATCCCTTGAGGGCTGACAGTGCCATTACCATGATCTCAAGGTCCCCTCTTTGTCATATACCCATCATGTGCAAAGGCCTTGACAGCTGGTGACTGATTGGACTCAAGCCAGGCACCTGCTTTGGGCTGTTCTGGAAACAGAGGTGCATCTTTTCCTGTGAGCCTTTTGGAAGAGTCTGTTTCTGGCCTCCTTCCTCACCATGGGATATAAATGCAGAATCTAGGGGGCTTGTCCCCCTTTTGTAAGTGGGAATTCTTAATAGGCACATGGGGGCCCAGTGGCTGTGCCATGTCCCCTGGTTTGGAGTTGATCTCTGAGGATTCTGGTCACCACCCTGTGTCCCAAAGCAGGGGCATGTCTGGCTTCAGTGCCTTATCTGAATCTCTTGTTTGTCCTACAGGAATAAAGAAGGACCCAACCAAGGCCTTTGTGCCCAGGACTGTCATGATCGGGGGCAAGGTGAGGTGATGTTCTCTTTGCATCTTGCTTGATATTTAGCCTGAATGCACAAACCACCATGCTTTTTGTCAGTGCCACTGTGTCCCGACTTGAGTGCCAGCTGCGCAGTGGGCTGGAGACTGCAAAGGCTCAGAGCCAGCATACACACGGAATGCCAGAGGCCCCCTGCTTCCCCAGGTGTGCTTGTGGGCTGAGTAGGTTCAGTGTCCATCAGCTCAGCATTAAGAGGGAGCTGGATGGGACCCCAGCACATGAGAGTGGGGGTCCTAGCCCCAAGGGGAGTCCTCAGTGGACTTGTTGGCCCTCCATCCAATGCCTTTCCTTGTACAACCACCACCCTTCCACACCCGTGCCCAGCTCTCAGGTCCCAGCATGCTGCCCACTCACTTCCCTGTACTCGTGTGCTGAGTGGACATAGATTGCTGGCTGCTTCATCAGCCAGATGTATACCCATGGTGAGTGAGCTCAGCCTAGCTTTATTTCATTTTTTATTCACCGTGACACATGCTTTTGGATACTCAGTCACATAGTCCCAGTATGTTGCCATTACTCATTGATGGATGGGTTTTCTCATCATACTCTGTGCTCTAGGGCTGGTGTCCCCACCCTCTGCCACTTTCCCCCAAGAGCCTCATTGTCATCAGAGAACATGAGGACACTGTGGAGCACAGTTGTTTTATGGGGGCCTACCAGGCGGGGCCAGGCACTGTCTGCCCAGCCAGCAGCTCATGGTCATCTCCCCGAGTGCCTGCCATTTCCTTTGTTAGTATCCCAGTGTGCATTTCTTAGAGATACAGGCTTTCAAACAGTTTTTTAAATGCTAATTATTAAAATTTTTCAGCATAGACAAAAGTAGGAAGAATAGTAATAATATCCATACACCTATCCCAGACTCCGCTGGATCATTCCAAATGAGTTCTGGACCTGGAATTGCTTTGCCTCTAAGTATTTCACACGTGTTCCCGATGATGTTTTCCTCCAAAACCACAATAAGTACAGACCCTTTTGAACACCACCACATGATACCATCTTCTCACGTAGATAGTAAAGTTACAGATATCTGGAATAGTTTGTTTGAATCTGGACCCTGGCAGGGCCTAACCATGTAATTGCTTGCAGTCTGTTAAATCTTGTCATCAGTAGGTTTTTCCCCACGCCTACCTCTCTTCTCTCTCTGCAACTGATTTGTTACAGAGATTGGGCTTTGTGTCTTCCCCAGGTTGGCTTTTCTGAGCACATCTGTCTGGCATGTCCAGTACGCCCCTTAGTTCCCTGTGTTTCCTGTAAGTTGGTGGTTCTAAAAGTCCTGCTCCTCTCACGTCCTCATTTCTGAAGAGCTGGCTAGAATTGGAGAACAGGTTTGAGGCTGGCAGGTTTCAGCACAGGCTGGGGCAGCTGTCAGGAGAGGCGCTTGGTAGAGCTGGGTCATGGGTAGACATCACACCCCACGGAGAGCAGGTTCCTCTGTCATGAAGCTGTCTGCCAGACTGCATGCAGGACACGGAGGGGGGGGCCACTCAACTGGGTGTGACCTCAGTGATCTAGCATGGGGCCCCGGTTACAGGGAATGATGCCAGACCCTCCAAGGACCCTGTGCTGCCCAGCACATAGGTGTGTTCATGCTGAATTTCCCCTCCCATCTCCAGGCGGCCCCTGGTTACCACATGGCCAAGATGATCATCAAGCTGGTCACATCCATCGGCAATGTCGTCAACCACGATCCAGTTGTGAGCGACAGGCTTAAAGTGATCTTCCTGGAAAACTACCGAGTGTCCTTGGCTGAGAAAGGTAGGCCCATATTAGGAAGGCCTGCCCCTGCCTGGGCACAGTATGGGTGGTCATTGCTGGTCCCAGACACCAGGCGCCCCAGCCAGAGGGAGACTTTGTTCTAGTAGTAAAAGGCTTTGGGGAAGTTCTCTGCCCTTCACATGCGGAGAATTACCCTCAACCTTTGTCTCTGTACTTTCTCACTTCTTCCTGTGACCTCATTCCTTCTCCTTGTTCTGCCCCCAGTTTTCTTTCCTGCTCCTAGAGCTTGCTCTTGCTGGCAGGATGTGCTTCCAGGGCAGCCTCCTCCCTCCCTTCTCCCACCCCCAGAGGATGTGTCTGCTGTCACCACCTATATACTCTCAAGAGCATTACCTACTTGTGATCTGGGCCGGCACCTGCCTCTTTGGTCCTTTCCGAGAGCAGCCCGAGGCCTGACAACCCAGTCCTTTGGTGAGAGTTCAGGCTGGGGCTGCTCCTTCAAGGATGTGTGCTGTCATCTGGAGAAGTTCCTGCAGCCAAATGTGCCTTGGAGCGTGGCTTTCCTGACCTGGACAGGCCTTTCTAAACTGGCCACTTGTGGAGACCCTGGCAGGAAGGTGATTTGCCCAACCAGGTGATGGGAAACCTGAGCCTGGAATTCTGGCTCTGAGTAGTAGGCACCTCTGCAGCTCACACAGATCAGCTGCTGCCTGCTGTGCTGAGTAACGACGTGCAAGCAGACATGCTCCCCTCTCCTGACAGCTCAGCCAGGTCATTGAACCGTCTCTCTGGTCCCTCTGCTGTCACAGACCATATGCGGTTCAGGGTCAGTAATGTGCTTAGTTCTTCACTGAGCTTCTGGCACATCTTACTGCCCTTTGCACGTGGAACTCCCCCTCCTCACTGTTACATGGGACCAGCTGGCTCCTGGGCATCTTCAGAACTGGTCTTGGGGTACCTGGTCTAGGGCCTCAGAGCTGGGGTCTTAAACTTGCTGCAGCAATGTGTCCACTGTCACATTTGCTCGTGTCCCTCTGCCTTCAGTGTGGAGCTGCATGGGGGCCAGAGATGCCTATATCTCTTTATCTTGGCTCCTGGGCTTGACCTTGAAGAAGAGCTGGACTTCACTCTTCACGGACCCTGAGTGCCAGCCACTGGGCTGGGGAAGCAGCATCAGCTCCGTGGACAAGCTGAGAATGTGGGGGCAAGGATGCCAAGGCAGGGTGGGAAGATGAGGCTTTCCCATCCATCATGACTTGGAGGCACAGGGAGCCCACCCTTTGGAGACACCTCAGGGCCACTGCATTTGGGTCATCGTTGTGGCTGGTTCGGCCCAGTCTGCAAACAGCACAGAGTGACTCGTGTGCATGTGAACACAAGGAAATTGCCCCTGCCTTCCTAGTTCTCTGGTTCTTTAAGAGTCCAGTTTCCTTTTGAAGTGCTCTGAAGAGACTTATGGGCTGACGGCATGAGACAGAAGTGCTGTCAGGATGAAAGAGAATGATGACATCAAAAGCAAGAACCAGGGGACCCCAAAGTATGGTTGGGCCTGGTCCCTGGAAGGTTCTAGAACAAAGGTCCTTTGCTACCTGGGGTCTTCTCTTCAGGAGTCACCATCTTGACCTCAGGCTGCCCTGGATCAGGAAGGGAAGCCCTTAATAGGTGGGCAGGGTGGGCTGCAGGGCTCAGGCCCATCCTGGAGTGGGTGGGAGATGGCACCTGCTCTGGGAACGCCAGCAGTGGGCGTGTGGTGTCTTGCACAGTTCCCATTGCTGCCATGCTGTGAGCGGTCTGTGGTGATGCACCTTCTTGCCCACCTGCTTGCAGTGATCCCCGCCGCAGACCTGTCACAGCAGATCTCCACTGCGGGCACCGAGGCCTCGGGCACGGGCAACATGAAGTTCATGCTCAATGGGGCCCTCACCATTGGCACGATGGATGGTGCCAACGTGGAAATGGCTGAGGAAGCTGGGGCTGAGAACCTCTTCATCTTTGGCATGCGTGTAGAGGACGTCGAGGCCCTGGACCGGAAAGGGTGTGTATTCCTTCCTGTGCCATCGGGGGCACTGCAGCATCCCAGACACTGCTTGGAACACTGGGGGTTGGGGGTGCCAAGAGGGCTCTGGGAGCCAGGCCTGCGCTTGCTGGGGGAGATGCCCGCCTGGCAGGTGGGGGTGGCTGTGGGCATGCTGGCTGAGCCTGCTCCTGGCCTGAGCACCCCACCAGCTGTCCTGGGAGGCTGGCTTGGGTGGGAGCTGGCTACTCTGTGCTTGTCTCCATGGGCCCAGTCCCTGGGGTCCAGAGTGAGTCTTTTCAAAAGGGTAGAAGGTTCTGGTCTCTGGAGGGAAAGCTCTGAGCACTCAGCCAGTGTGGGGATTTGGGGCTGAGCTACTGCTGAGATTCTCTGGCCAGATTCTGTAAAGTAACCCTTGGAATAGTTTCACGTTTACAGACAAGTTGCAAAGATAGCACAGAGTCCTATAGACCCTTCTGCCATCTCCCCTGTTGCTTACATCTTCCTAATTAGAGTCATACGTTATCAAAATTAGGTAACCAATAGTGGTGCATTGTTATTTATTAACGTCCATACTTAGTGTTTCCCATGAATGTCCTTTTCTGTCCTAGGATCCCTTCCAGGGCACCCCTCTGTGTTTAGATAGCAGGTCTCCTGTCTCCTCTGGTCTGTGACATTTTCTCAGCCTTTCCTCATGTATCATGACCTTGGACACTCTTGATCATGACTGTGGACACTCTTGAGTCTGGCCCTAGCCTGATTCTGAGCAATAATTAAAAAGAAAAGACAGTATTGCCTAATTGTCTAAAAGCCCTCAGGGGAGTTGGTGAGGCCTCAGGCACCAGCCGGGTGAAAACCCAAATGTCACCTAAAAAGTCACAGCTTAAAGGTGAGTTAGATGTCTCAGCTTGAGAGTACACTGCCCCATGTGCCCTTTCCTACCTGCCCCTTATTTGGGCTCTCTGCTCCATCCCGTGTCCTGAGACTGCATATCTGCTCCATGCTTCCCTCCCCAACTCCCTGATGGCCAAGGACTGTTGGGTCTGGTTGTGTCTGGTTTATGCTTCATTTCCTTCTTCATTGTCCCAGTGGCAGGGGGCAGGGTGGTGGCAGGAAGCAGGGGGCATCATTAAGGGCAGGGTGCAGCAAGGTGGGGTGGAGATGGCATGCAGCAGCCAGTTCTCAAGCAGCCTCCTGTAGGAGTATGATAGTGCCATGCCAGTGATTGTGTGTCTTCCAGCAATCACAAGGAGCCGGTGGGATTCATTCTGCACACCCAGCACATCACTGCAGGGCCCAGCAGCACTTGGGCCTGGAGCCTGGGGCAGTCTCGGACCAGGAAGGTGCCCAGTACAAACAGCCCTGCAGCTCACCCTGAAGGCTGACGCTTGGCCCCACCTCCCCACAGGTACAATGCCAGAGAGTACTACGACCGCCTGCCCGAGCTGAAGCAGGCCGTGGACCAGATCAGCAGTGGTTTCTTCTCTCCCAAGGATCCAGACTGCTTCAGGGACATTGTCAACATGCTGCTGAACCATGACAGGTTTGTCCTTATGTCCTTCCCCACTGGCTGGTCAGATAGATGGGTCCTCCTGGTGGGCTCAAGACTGCACTTTGGGAATGACCCTGGACTGAGGTGAGGCTGGCTCCCTACCCCAGCCCATGGGCAGAGCCTCAGGCCGCCAACCTTGACATACTATACCCAGGGCCTGCTGTGGTCTCTGGAGGTGCTTGAATGCTGGGGGACCCTGGTGGTAGGGATTGCTGGTTCATGATCTGGCCCTAGGCCCCCCAGCACTGGCTGACCCCCGGAATGGCATGACAAGCAGAAGGTGGTTTCAGATGGGGCTGCCTGGAGGCATTTCCTGAGTCCTCTCTTCCCCGGGGAGAACAGGAGTCTGGGCAGGACACAACAGAAGCCTCCAGGAAATGGGGGGTGAGGGGCACTGTGCCTCCACAGTCATGGTCCTGCAGTCCCAGCTGAGGCAAATGTTGGCCGGTGGTGACACAGAGTGGTTAAAATGGAATTAACTTGTGACGTAAAGTACGATGTAGTTAATGGTTTTTTACAACACAACTATCCCTGATTATAACATCCACATTTACAGACTCACTAATTTACAGCAGGTCAGCAATGCCACTTGCCCTCTTTGACAGTTCTTTGCTCCACCCTGTTGGTAAGAATCCTTGAATCTGGCAAATGCTGAGAATTGACCTCTGTTCCACTCTCAGTTGCCTTTGGATTGGTTTTGTCTATTGCTCTTCCCGTGAGTGCTGTGAGCTGGTGTCAGATCAGATTGCAGCCCCACACATACATGGCTGGGAGCTGGGCCCTGGCTCAGTCTGTGATCAAGGAAAAATTTAGCAGTTTCATGAACTGTCCCTGTGACTCCATCATAAACAAAAATGCATTTCTGTGTTCATAAATCCTACATTTTTACCCACAACATCCTTTCTCTAGACCACCAATTTTTGGCCCAGTTAGACCTGGGAACAGATGGCTGCGTAGAGCCTCACTGTCATCCTGTGCCCCCTCACCTGGGAGATGGAGTCCGCAGGAAGCCTCTCAGCCTGTGCGGCTCTACCCCACATGCATGGAGAGGGTGCATTGGAAACACCCACTTCTTTAAAGAAACATAGGCTTAAAACAAGGATTTTATAGAATAGTACCCCAGGACAAAAGTATTGCTCATTAGAGCCACCTCTGTGGCCAGGTGGGCTCTGTCATCCTAAAGTGTGAGGACCTGGATGGCTGGGACCTGTTTCCTGACCACCTGCCACGGTGGACCACTCTCTTGTCTCCCATTTCAGGTTCAAGGTGTTTGCAGATTATGAAGCGTATGTGGCATGCCAGGCCCAGGTGGACCAGCTGTACAGGGTATGGTTCTTGGGCCCCAGAGCTGGTGGGGGTGGCCCTGGCAGGGTAGCAGCAGGGGACATCTATGAGGTCCAGTCCCGGGAGGTCATAGTTCACCATTGAGCTGCATCATGGACTCAGGCTGAATGGGGCTGCTTCCACTCAGACTGACTTAGCCATCTCTCTGCTCGCCCCTGGTAAAGGCTAGTGCCCCTGGGACCAGGCCGCTGTCCACACTGGCACGTTTCCACGCAGCCTCTGAGCAGCTGCCGCAGAACACAAGTGAGCAGGACAGGAGTTTCCTTCCTACAGACGGCAGAGGCAATGGGCGATGCCTCTGCCTGTGGTCTGCACTCCCATGTGGCTATGATCAGGAGGGTGCAGGGAGCAGGTGTGGAGCCAGGAAGACTTGTATGTGCACACAGAAAGCCTGTGTTTAAAAATGAGAATGGGAATGCTTCCTTGGAAAAGTGTGAGCTTCAATGTTAAGTAGAGTGAGGGACCCATAGCTGTGAGGAGCAGCCTTTTTAGGGCAGGACCACTGCAGCCAGCTCCCTACTCCTTGGTAAAAGTGGACAAGGGAGGTCCTGTTTTCTGTGTGGAGCATGTGCTGGCCAGTGTCCCTGGGGGAGTGTCTCCATGTGGGGTCTCGAGGATGTCCCTTGGTGCCCTCTTCTCTCCCCTTTCCTGGGGGTGGGGAGGGGAGGCAGTGGGAGAGGACTCTGGCTACCATGGTGTGACTGCAGAGTTGTGGGTTGGATGGATTATTTCCCAGGTTCTTGGACAAGGCCTGTGGGATTTGTATTTCTGATTTGTTGCTGTTCTGGCCCCCACCCCCTGCCCTTAGGAAAGCTGTCTGTCCTTCGGGACCCATGAAAGAATGGGGGGGTGGGGAGATGGGAAACTGAGTGACTAGGCAGGGCTCTGGGGGGATCCTTTGCTCCTCTGACCCAGACCTCAGCAGAGTGTGCCCTTTCGGGAAGACTCCTCTTGGTGCTGGCTCAGTCTAGGGGTGGTTGCCAGGCTCTGGGGGAAGCTGTGGATGGGAGACCACCTGGCCATTTTCCCTGATCCAGCCAGTGGCAAGTACTCACCTGGTGGTATTTCTTTGTCATGGTGGGCCGTGCCCCAGAGGACATGGTGCATTTTGAGGTCCGGGACCTTCTCAGACTCCTTGCCCTTGTATCTAATCATCTGGTAGCTTTTCTGGTTGGTGGGTCCCCCCATTTGAGTGAGCTGTTGATTGCAATTTCCTCTTTGTTCATCAAGCTTCCCAGGGGCTAAGAGCTCATCTGGGAACAGTCCTGAAGTTCTGGAAGTGCAGGTTGTCTTATGTGGTGCCTAGGATTACTCAGCCTCTCCTTCCCTCTGCAGAACCCCAGGGAGTGGACCAAGAAGGTCATCAGGAACATTGCCTGCTCAGGCAAGTTCTCTAGTGACCGGACCATCACAGAGTATGCCCGGGACATCTGGGGCGTGGAGCCCTCTGACCTGCAGATCCCACCCCCCAATCTCCCCAAGGATTAGGAGCCCTGGCAGTGGCCTTGCTGTTTCAGTGCTGTTTCTGGAGGGCCATGGGGATTGTGGTGGTGGCTTGGGGTGGGAAAGGAAGGAAAGGTGTAAAGAATGAGATGTTCCCAGTTTTCTGCAGGAAATTGGGGCTCACAGCACTGACCAGGGCAGCTGGCCCCGCAGCTTTAGCCCACCTGTCCCAAGGAGGTGGGGAAGGTGGAGCCACCTGCTGGGCTCCTCTGAGACCTTGCATGCACCTTGCAGTGAGCTTGTTTTTAGTTTTGAGCTTTTGGATTCTGGGGTCTGGGCAGGTAGCTGTGGCAAAGCCTGGGGAACTATGTGTTTCTGCACTACATGGGCTACCCAGCTGGTGTGGGTTTCTGACCTCCCTGGCCCAGCTGTGCTCCTGGCTGTGCTGGGAGGGTCCAGTACTCCAAGCCAAGTCTGCAAGTGCTATGTAGGTGCTCTGGCCCAAGTTTCCAGACTGATCAGATAAAGGGGCCCTGGATGAGTGAGGATCACATGGATGAGGACACCTGTGTCCGGCATTTCGGGGATTTGGGCTAGGACAAGGCTGGCTGATGCAAAGTTAGCTTGGTTTTGCTTTTTCAAGAGAAAAATTAACTTCACAGGAAAATGAAAGTAGCTGAAGCCTTTTCTCGTTTTAGCAACTAAAAATTGTACTTCTGAAATTTTGTCCTGGGTTGGCCCAGCCCTGGGGGCCTGGGATGGAGTCATTGCCTTTGCTGGAAAGGCTGATAGCCCAGCCCCTGCTGCAGATCCATGCCCTCCTTGTACCCCTGCCCTGTCCTGGGGGCTGTGTCTCCTGTCTTACACATGAGACTAGTCTCCTGTCTCCCTCCCTGTCTACCAGTACAACCAAGGTAGTCTAGGAAAAGGACTGAGCAGGCCCAGAAGGGAGCCCACTTTTCCACTCTGCCTGGATGGCAGGCTGGTGGCCGTAAGGGTGGGTGAGCCCCTCTCAGCTGCCCAGAGGAGAGAGCCAGGAAGCAGCCTGGCACGCTTCACTGCAGGCTTATTGGAGACACGGGTGGGAAGCACCCTTCCCGAGGCTCTGCCTCCTTGCATGCTGGATCTCAGTGGCACAGGGCTCTGCCCTCACCCTGGGTCCTGACTGCTCACAGAACCAGGCCATGGAGGATTTGCTCACATGTACACTTCACCAGAGCTGCAGAGGTCTGGTGGGGAGGCCCACATTCCGAGGCTATGGCTGAATCCATGACACCCTCTGCTGCCCCATTTCTTAGGCCACATGTGGACCCATCACTGTGCCACTTGCTGTTACTGCCTTGTGTGAGAAAATGATTAAACCTTCCTGCCTGTGCTTGGTTGACCTGAACTGTTTTATTCTGCGCTGAGAGCAGGGTGGGAGTTGGGTGGTGTGGGCCTCAGACCCTCCGCTGTAACAGCCCATCACTGTGGGATTAAGGACAGACCACATTCTTCTATCCCAGCTGTGAGTGGGACTTAATTAAGAGTATGTGTGCTGAACTGCCAGCTCACAAAAGAATCGTCAAATCTTCATAAACTGTTATCTGTGTGTTGGCATTTTGGGTGCAAATTGCATTGGTTCTTTTTGCACCTGTCTTCTGCCACCCACTCCTGGCCCTGGAAAGTGGAATGCTCCAAAAAACCAGAGCATTTCCCCCTAAATTGTGTAGCTGCAGGCTGAATCAAAGTCCAGGAGAGACACGAACTTGGGGTTGTTACACAAAGAACCTGAGAACTGCAGGCCACTGGGGCACCATGGGCCCTGCTGGGGTGGTCTTGGGTCTGGGGACATGCTTAGTTTTTTTTTGTTTATTTTGAGAGAGAGTACGAGCAGGGGAGGGGCAGAGAGGGGGAGGGAATCCCAAGTAGGCTCCACTCTGTCAGCGCAGAGCCCTACTCTGGGGTCGATCCCAGGAATCGTGAGATCATGACCTGAACTGAAATCAAGAGCCACTCAACCTGAGACACCCAGGCACCCCCTGCATATTTTTTAAGTAGGCTCCTTGCCCAACGTAGGGCTTCAACTCAACGGCCCTGGGATCAAGAGTGGGATGCTCTACTGACGGAGCCAGCCAGGTGCCCCAGGACATGCGTATTAACTGAAAAATTTACAGCTGTGCATGTCTTGATCTTTTTTTTTTTTCTTCAACGATTGGTTTTGTAACCATTAGTGGTTACATCTGTCCTAGGCCATCATAGGTTTAGTTAATAGAAGCCAGCAGATGGGGGTGTTTGGACCTGATTAGCTGACCCAATGGCCCAGCAACTGCCCCTCCAGTGCTTACTGCCTCTTTAGTGCTTTCTCCTCTTCAGTCCACCTGTCAAAATACCAACACTTGTATTTTACTTCATATCCTATCCCCCAGCCCACCCCATGAAGATCTGAGGCAGCTCACACACACAAAATGTTAAACAGGGTGAAGACTGGCTCACCTAGGTGGGCTGGGTCTGAGACCACGTGCCAGCAGGTCACATCGTGTCACTGATGGAAGTGGGCTGGAAAGGCGGCTCTGTCTCAGGGCCTCCGTGATAGAGCCAGTAGAGGGTGCCATGTCTGAGGAAGGGCTGTCAGGTCCAATGGGCGCAATACGCAGAGCAGTTACACAGGAAGACACTACGGGATGGGGCCATGTGCCCCAGCTCTGATAGGTGCAAAACATGCACCCTGGGGATGGGTTGGTGTCTTGCAGGCAGTGCTCACACCCAAATTAGATGCCAGGAGTCAGCAGGGAACCCATCCAATAAGAGGAAAATAAATATTCGGACATAAACTGACTTTAGGAGTCTGTTCACATTTCAACCTATTTAAGAACGGTGTGATTTCCCCAACATGAGAATCACTGTAGGCAGCTTGAAGGTGCTTCATTAAGGAGGTATAACGAGTGTTGACCTCTGGGCCCCCTAGCTTGCCCACAGCTGCTAACAATGGCCTATGACCTTGAAGAACAGGTAGACTGGTGAACAAGGCCCTCCATACCCCCCCAGGGAATTTTTCAGCTGCCAAGACTAGATAGTCCCAGAGCCTTAGGACCTAGGAGAAAGTCCCACCATCAGAAGAATCGGGTCCCAGGTGGGTTTACATCCTCTGGTCTGGGTCACACCTCTGTACTTGCACAGCAGGGGTAGGACAGTCCCCTGTGGGGGCAGCTTGAAACCTTCTTTCTTCTTAAGCCATGAACCTTCTCATTCCCAGGTTCCCTTACTGAGCCCAGACGTAAGACTCTGGCCCTTTACCAGCACCCAGTGGTGAGAAGCAGGATTTTTAGAGGGTGCCAGGTGGAGGCAGCAGAACTGCAGGGGAGACTGGTTTGGCAAAAAAGCTGAATACCAAAAGAGCCACCCCCAGTGAATAATTTCCTGGGCCAGAACTAGAAACCCTGCACTCCAGGACCCCAAGTTCTTTCATCGACCCCTGCCAGGGGCTCGCTTGGGGTCTGTGGGTGAAACCCAAGAGCCTGCTGATCAATACCAACATCCAGCAAGCTTGCTAAGTGTGAGGTTGAAGAGAGCCTAAATTTTATGCCATCTAACTCATCTGGAGAAACAGTGACCCCATGAATACACCTTTCCCTGAGACAACACCACTCCTTGAGTTGACCTCTATCCACATCTGGAAGAAGGGAGAAAAGGAATGTCCAGGGTCCCTAGCCTTATAGAGCTGCACCTCCTCCCATGTGGCTGGCTCTCAGCATGGCCTGGGGCCAGCTGGAAACATCACTGAGAACACAACAAACAGACCACCACCACGATTTTATTCTTAAATAAATGCTCAGTCTAAGGCCAGGTTAGGCAGACAGGTGGGCAGAAAGCAGAGGAAGTGCAGGTCATGGGCACCTCCCCCGCTCTGAGAGGTGGGGCCTGCCCAAAGAGGGAGGGATGGCCTATGTAGGCAAGCAGGGTGTTCCAGGTGGGAGGGGCCAGTCAAACCATTAGAGTCCATTCTGTGTGTGCCAGGAAGGGACAGATGAATCCATCTCCCCATAATCTCACCAATGGTGCTGGAAAGCTCAGTGTGGTCCCAATACCCCATGCTTCCTGCACTTGGCTCCCCAGGCCCAGCTCAGGAAGTGTGGGATCAACCAGCTGGAGGCTGGCCTGCTCTGTCACTGTCTTCCCAACAAGAGCTCAGGTTAAGTGGCAACAAGAGGGAGAGGGGATCACATGCCTGCAATCTGTGTTTTCCACAAGGATCCGTGCTCCCAGCCATCTGGGGCAGGTGCCTCAGGTCTGCCGGGGCCTCCTCTGCCTGCCCCAGCTGGCATCCGAGTCCTCTCTCCAGGGGCATCGAAGATGCTGGCACCCCCTGGGCTCCAGAGTGCCAGGCTGCCAGAGCGAAGGAGAGGAGGGCAGAGGTCTTCATGCTCCTTTAGGCAGCAAGACTCAGTGCTGGCGCCCAGGTTCTGACTTCCCCAGGAATTCCCTAGACCAGGTGAGGACAACCATCAGCCAAACCCTGAGCCCACACTAGAGGTCCTGCCCCCTATGATCCTCAAAGGGCCCACCTGAGAAGGAGCCTGGAGGACCACCCCTACTCAGAAAGCCCGAGTTAAACAAACAGGTCACCAATGGCATTGGCTTGGTCAAATCCCAACCCTGTAGGATGAAGACCAGGTAACAGGCTACTATTCTTTGGTCTAAACTCTGAGCTATACTCTGAGCTAAATTTTCCGCATCATGTTCCTTTTATGCTGGGGAAAATGACAACTCTAGAGCAAACCCACACACTCAGCTCACAGTCCCATCTTGGCAACCCAGGTCCATGATGCAGGAAATGGCAAACTGCTAAAGAAATGCAGCGTTGCCTCTGGACCTGCCAAGGCAGCCACAAGAGAGCTGAAGTGTGATGGGATAAAATTCAAGATGGCTGATTCAAATACTTCCATGCTCAGCTGCCCCAAGAAGGTGAATTCGCACCTGGGCCGGGAAGTGGAAGGCTGCCTGCGCCTTAGGTGGGAGGCAGGGAGGCTTGGCATCACCTGCCTGAGTGATGGAATAGGTCCCAGCACAAAAGCCTGGGCTCCTGGGTGGGGCCAGGCTGTGTCCAGTCCACACTGCCCTTTGCCACCGCCTTGCCCTTCAGGCTTGGGCTCTGCACCCAGGCACAAGACGGTTGCCCATGGCCAAAGCCCATGTCCTGGCCCTGGACAGTGGCCATCATGACGCAGCTAGGAGCACAGCCTCCCTTCAAGAAGCAGCTGGGGACAAATAAGCTTTTGAGAGCTAGCCCAGAGTCTCCCAAGTGCTGTGTGCACAGGGGCAGGACCTGACGGGTATGTGGGAAGGGACTGAGGCCTGACCTGCAGTGGCTGGGGTGCATGTCTACATGCTGGATGCTCCCCTGAGCATGGTGTCCATGCAGGCCGCACAGCCCATACCACAGGGAAATCACTGCCCTGTCTGATCATGGGAATGGTCCAGAAGGGAGAGGTGATAAACACTCAACCCCTCTCCATGGAGATGAAAGGCTCTTGGATCACAGTGACTCCTGGCCCCACTGAGGCAGCTTTAGAGGCTATGGCTGCTGCATGCCTGGCCTGAGCCATCACCACCCAGGCGAGTTCCTGGTGAGGGGAGAATTCCTCACCTCAGTATCCGCGGGAGCTCAGGGCTCTTGTAGATATACTTGTGCCTGTAGCCGAGGTCTGAGTGAAAGGGAATAAACTGAACTTTGAAGTCTCGGAAGCTTCGAGATGGAGCAGCGATGTTGTAGAGCTGGGATGAGGAAGAGATGGGTCAGCACCCACAGATGACAGCCCTGTGGGCAACCTGCCTGGTGGTCTCCCCACTATAGAGACCAGTGAGTGGCTGCTGCCTCCAAAGAGCAACCCAAGCTCCCAGCAAATAGCACTGCTGCAGCCTACACGGCCTGGCCCGGGGAGAAGGGTGCTAGCAGGAGCCCAGCCCAGCCTCGGCTCCTCGGCCTGACGTTTGAGACCCTCTGTCCTCATGCCTATCTCCCAGATGGCCTTTCCTCAGGGGGCAGCAAGGCGGATGAGCCCACATTATGGGAAGAGCTGCCTGCTGTGCAATGGTATGCTGGCCAGAGTGCCTGGAGAAGTCCCACTGGTGGAGGATGCTGGGCATCCACCTCAGACTTCACTGTGTGCCGGGGTCAAGGTCAGTCAGCAGGTTGGCTCACAATCCCTCCCACCCTGGAGACTGCTCAGCTCTGTGGGTCTGGGTATCTGCTGCTGGGCAGTCCTGTGTGCCTGCACTCTCTGAAGGGAGGGGACCTGGCCCTGCTGGAACTTGCTGGCACCCGGGCCTCACTCCCTCTAGGCTGCCCCTGTCCCTCACCATCACCATGCCAGGTGGTGCTCTCTCCCATAGCACTCTCACTTACACATCTAGTGCTGCTTCCTGGCAGCAAAGGCAAAGCAAACTCAGCAAAAGCAAACACGGAGGCCCCACAACAGCATGGCATTTCTGTCATCAGTCCAATCCCAAAAACAAGAGAACAGACAAGAGGTCTGTATGAAGTCTACTGACTGAGACCCCCATGTTGGAGCCAAGGTGGGGCCACATCCTCCTCCTTGAGAGTTCTTTCCCTCCAGCCAACAACGAGTGAGTCCTCCTGCTGAATACCAGGTAGTGAAGTCCCTGTCACCCCAAGACCTCTGCACAGGGATCGGGAGCCATCTGCTTACTTCTCAGGTCTCCTCTGGCCATCACCAAATGTGCTGGTAAAGACGTTCACACCCTCAAACTTACCTTTGCTGATAAGGCATCAACTGTTTGCCTCCACCCCAATCCTGCTGACCTCCCCTGCTGTTCTCTTCCTCACAAGGGGCACCTGCCAGCAGCAGGACTCCCTCCACGTCTGCCTAGGCCCAGCTGGCCCAAATGGGAGCCTGCTAGATGCCTGCCCACACCGGGGGTAGCACCTGACACCCACCTTTCTGCCAAGCTGGAAGGGCACAACTGGGTCGTCCTCAGCATGCAGGATGAGCAGGGAGCAGGAGATGTGCTTCACACTGTGGGAGGAGAAGGCACTAGACCAGGACCCTGGGAGTCTCTAGCCCTGCCTATGGTTCAACAGCTACAATTCTGCTGGGCTTTTCACTAGAGAACTAAGTTGATTTCTCATATATCTCTACCAACATCTATTCAGTCAAGTCTAGAGATGGATTCACTCACCAAATCTGGCCCCTCCCTGTGTATTTTCTGAAAATTGAAAATAACTATTTTTGCCACTAGACATATTCTTTAAAAGTTACAAAACAGGGACACCTGGGTGGCTCGGTCAGTTGAGTGTCTACTCTTGATTTTGGCTGAGGTCATGATCTCAGGGTCTCAGAAGCCTACTTAAGATCCTCTCCCCACCTCCCCACTTGCACATGAACACACACACTCTCTTTCTTAAACAAGTTACAAAACAGTATTTACATACCAAATAACTTAGGTGGTCCAGGAAATTTATTGCAAATGAATGCTACTAGCAATATGTTGGTAAAAAAGTCCATAACCTCTAACTTGTCTTTGTTGAAAAGGACATTTAAGGTACTCCTGAATGTTTACAAATAAATTAACATTTTCAATAGGTTCACATAATTCAAACCCTCCAATAAACCACATAATGGATGGGCTGTGGGACTGGATAGGCCCCGGAGTCTCTTGGCGGCCCCTCACTAAGCTCTCAGGTGAGCTGGTAGATATGGCACCCACCTGGTCCTGGTGGTTGCATTCTGGTCTGGGGGCTCCATGAGGGCAGCACTGGGCAAGGCTGCCACCTGGCAGGACCTGAGCCAGGACGCCTGACGCCCCACCAACGCCGAGCCCAGACAGCAAGTCTGCGCTTCTGCTAGTGGCACACCCGTATGCCCACTCTCCCCCTGTTCTGCTTCCAGGGAGGAGCATTTCTGGTGTGCGGGTCACACTGTGATAGTGGAATGGCTCATCTTTGCAGAATTTCCCCAATAAGTAGTATGTCCTAACCTCTGCCCGCTCTGGGAAAGGCCTAGTTCCTATGCTGTCACCTTAGCAAGTATTTGGCAACCAAGCTGCCCAAGTGGGGGCTCCTGACTTCCAGTGGGTGAAGTAGTGCTGGCCCCCTAATGCTCAGCTGGGAGCAGGACCCAACACTCACTGTGGTGCTTGTTGTTGTGGTTTTAGAAGCAATCTTGCTTATTCAGATAACACTTCTTTAAGTTCCTAAACAATAATATTTACAAACCAGCAGGTTTGGGGTTATGTTTGCTCAAATTTTAGTTTGTTCTATTTTTAGAACCAAAACACATAATTAAGGGGAAAAATATTCCATTTTTTCACATTCTGTTTCAAAGTGTAGACTTTAAATGCTAACTGAACATTTAGATAAGAATTTTTATCCTTTCCTTTTAATTTTTTTTGAAGAGATTAAAACCCATGAAATAAAGATATCACAAAGACAACGTCAACAGAATCTGAACATTGTGCAAAGAATCCTTAACTAGAATTTTTAACTGTTGGTTGACCTAACAGAAATTTTTTTTAATCAAGTATTCTTTCTTTTTTTTTTTTAAGTTTATTCACTATTTTGAGAGAGAGACAGAGAGAGTGCAAGCAGGGAAGGGGCAGAGAGAGGAAGAGAGAGAGAATCCCAAGAAGGCTCCATGCTATCAGCACAGAGCCCCACTTGGGGCTTGATCTCACTAACCGTGAGGTCATGACCTGAGCCGAAACCAAGAATGTTTAACTGACTGAGCCACCCAGGTACCCTTAGAAACATTTTTTTTTAATGTTTTTTATTTATTTTTGAGAGAGAGGGAGACAGAGTGCGAGTGGGGGAGGAGCAGAGAGAGAGGAAGATACAGAATCTGAAGCAGGCTCCAGACTCTGAGCTGTCAGCAACAGAGACTGACATGGGGCTCAAACCCACAAACCATGAGATCATGACATGAGCTGAAGTCAGACGCTTAACCGACTGAGCCACCCAGGCACCCTACCCTTAGAAATATTTTTAATAATGAACTTTGTAACATCTTTCTATAACCAAACATAAATCAAATGGGTGAGGCAGTCATTTTTTGAGTAACAGTTACTATTACTGCTTTAGAACCTGTCAGAAGTTCTGGTTTTGGCGGACTATTCACAAATAAAACAACTATGTGGGCATGTTGTCTTTCTATTGCTTTAAAGCCAAAGTCTTCAAATCCCCTTTCTCTAAGTTGCAGCTGTCAGCCTGACCTGCCCTTTATGAAGGTCAAATGGTTAGAGAAGAACCCCCAGTATTCAGAATTCCATCCTATTTAATTAAAGTGACTAGTCCTGGGGGTGCTTTTCTAAATTCAAAAATGAGGTTTTCTACCACAGTACTCACTTTTCATCATTAGCAAATTTAATTCCACTGCTTGTAATGGGGTCGAGGAAAAACCAGTCAAACCCAGGGAAGTATCGATATATCTGAAGGCGACATGGAAACAACGTGCAGAAGCATCAATTAAAACAGCATGGAGAAGTCAAGGGTGTTGAGTGCCCAGGGGTCTCCTCTGCTTCTGAGCTGGCTGACCTGTTGCCCCACCAAAGCTGTGCTGGGGTGCCCTGCCACCCTTGTCCCTGGACCACAGACTCCCTTCTAGAAGGGCCCCTGGACTGGCCATAGTGGGGTTGCCCACAAAATGGGCTCCCACACCTCAGACCAGCAGTTGGGACTGGCTCAGAGACCATACTTCCCACAGACATCAGGGCCTCCACCCCTGGGAAAACAGGGATTCATGTAACTTGGGCGAAAGCAACATCAAAGAAGTAAGACTATATAAAGGACTCCTCTGGTCTGCAACAGAGCAGCATGAGGTCAGGTGGTAAGCCTTCCCCTCCAACCCCCCCCAGAACACATGGTCAGCCAAGAAGTAGTGGGACAGAAGAGGACACAGAGAAGCCCCAGGGGATCCAAGGCCTTGGTCCTGACAGGTAAGGAGGGCCTGATTCACTCTGGAATCCCCAGTAGGGTTTACCTGGGGCATCACCTGGAGACACGACTGGGAGAGCCTGGCAGCTTGCTGAGCACCATCCATGTGGACAGAGAGCAGGTGCACCCACCAGCTCCATGTCTGGGGAAGCAGCCAGGATAGCAGCTACCAGCCCGGGCTGGACCCCATGGGGCAAAGGTGCCGGGTAGGCAAACCATGCCACAGAAACAAGGCCTCCTCGGGGTCCTGCTGCCCTTAGATGACCCAGCTGTAAACCCATCCTTCTCCCTGGCCGTAGAGTTTTAACATTCCCGGACAGCTCTGTAGTCAGGCCAGTGCCCCAAACTAAACAAGGATTAATTTTTAATAAAATCTATATTCATTAGAATATTTAAATCATATTTTATCATTATTTTTACTTTATACTTATTTACATAAAAGTTTCCTTTATAGTAATTATTTTAATAATGAAACTAGGCCAATTTTTAATAATATCTGTACTTGCCACTGAGAACGGATGGCTCTTAGCTTCTTCACGGATATTAGTGAATGGAGATTCCAATATAAGAGCATCGGGAGGTGTCTCTAGATAAATAAAACAAATAGGGAGCTCTGAGGTGGGCAAGAAGCCCCCATGGGGGAACTATGGGAGGGACTGGACCATGGACCCCAGGTGCCCGCCCAGCCAGCCTGCATGGTTGGTGCTCGGGAAGTGCCCATGCAAGGGGCCCACACAGGAGACACTTGGGTGACCATGATTCGCTCCCCAAACCACACCTCCTAGAACTGTGTATCAGGAACCCAACCCCTGAGGAGACTCTACCAGCTACTTGAGAATCCATGGGGAAGGCAGGCCTGGTTCAGCTGAGGGTCTGCCCAGACCCTCAACGCCCAGCCCACAGGACTCCGAGAAGACACCAAACGCTATTGCTGTGCCGCTCGTCCCAGCACCCACCTCTCAAACACGCTGCCTGCCCTGCCCAGGCCCCAAGACCAGGAGGAGGCTGTGCCCACACAACCAGGACTCGCATTGACACACAAGCCCCTACCTCGCTCACACAGGCGCCGCACCAGGTTTGTTGCCACTCTGAGAAGGGAGGAAGAAATAGTTCAGTTGTATGATGACAAAAATTGTTTTAAAGGACTGTTTAAAGGAAAAATTGTTTTCAAGACTGTTCTAGTCTTGAAAGTGGCCAGAGAAGAGGTAGGATCTGTGAAGTGGTTGGTGGGGCTCCAGGGGTGGGGGAGGGTGTGGACAAAGATGCCCCAGGACTGTGGTAGGCCCTGCTGCCCCTGCCATCAGCCAAACCCTCTGACAAGGATGGCGATGAGAGCCCCCAGGGCTCTTGCTGTCCCATGCAGACAGCCACGGCAGGACTGCCCGCTCCTCACTCTGCCCAGGCTCCTGTCTGCAGGCACATGGTTCACTCTCCCCGGCACTTCCCAGCCCATAGAACCCACCCAACTGCAGCACACTGTCTGAGGTGAGAAGCAAGGGGACAAGGGGGCCACAGCCACTGCACCCAAAGGAAAGGCTGTTGGAAAAGGGACAGCTGCTGAAGGTCTTGGGACTCTGGGCCTTGAGCACAGTGCTCCTTTTAGAAACACTCTGGACCTTACATCAGCAGAAGCAGTTCAGGCGGCCCCAAATGGAATATTAAACTGCTTCTCGTCTTGGCAGATGTAGGAAGGAAAGCACCCACTGCTGCCTCCCCAAAGTTCTCTGGTAAGCCAAATACAGGCTAAATGCATGCCATCAAAGCCCCGGCACTCAGGCTTGCCAGCCAGCACCTGCCCTCCAAAGCCAGGAGATGCAGAGCTCGAGTGCATCCAGGACTCCAGCCCTGTCCCGTTCTGCTCTGAAGACCTCTCCCTGAGGCATACTTTTACGGCAAGTGTGCCCATCCTTCCTGCAGAGGGAGATGGCCACCCCACGACTGCCCATGTGTGTCTCAAGTCACTTCTTGGGTTGAGGAGTTAAAGTAGCTCAAACTCTTCATGGTCTTCTGTGGTGCTTGATCCCCTGCCCCCACCATGGGAATGAGGGACAAGGCTTGCTGGGACTAAGGGTGTCATCGGATCCAGAAGCCACTAGGGCACTCTTTGAGAGATCAGGTAGTAAGTTGCCCTGTGAAAATCTGTTCCCCCAAGGCTCTATCATGCTGCAAACTCACCCAGTGCCTAGGGAATGACCCCAAATATATACAGGGTTGTCTCCACTTCTTGCTTTGATCCAGTCAAAAACATGGAGTGCGTCATACGTCATGCCTCGCTCTGATGGCGTTCCTACTGAGTCTCCCCACCCTGGATGGAGAGGAGCAGCAAGTGGAGGAAGTTAAACCCAGCTCGTGGAAACTCTTGAGGAGCAGGCTCATCCCTTTCTTTCTCAACAGGCAGCCCAGGGCAGTCTGGGGCAATGGAAGTCTCTGCTACCACAAACTATAGCCCCATGTGCAGGGTGTCTGGACAAGCCTGCTCCTACTTCTCCCACTTCCTCACAACCCCAGTTACAACCCCTGAACCCAAACAGCCATCCACACACTCTCATCCTAGTCCAGATGAACAACTGTAGATGGGGGCAGTCTGACACAGATTCCTGCGAGCAAAAAGGACAGCAACCTCCCCAATGCTCAGGGCTTGCTGGTGGCTGGCCCAAGATGAAAGGTCAGTGAGACCCCAGCCCACCCAGGAGCCTCTGTAGGACAGAGCGTCCCAGGGGGTCCCTGGGCCCAGTTTGGACTCCACGCCACCTATAGCCCAGCTAAAGACAGATGTGGGAAGCCAGACGAGGGCGTGAGGGAGAGGGATGGATTCCAGGCTCAAGGCAACTCTGACCCAGAAAGGGAAGGGGCTCTTAGCATAGCAGAAGAAAGCTAACCATCTGTGCCCCCAGACTGTATCTTCCCCCAGGGCCCTCCCCCTGGGCTCTTGGAAAGGGCAAGTGCCACTGTCATTTCCAGCAACTCAGCAGTGAGTCATCATCAAATGATCTGAAAGCACCACAAGGCTCAGAAAAAGCCAGTTCTGCTGCATAAGCAAAACCCACAGTTCGTGTGTACATGCCACCTCCCCTGGGCATCCCAAATGCCAGATTAGGGAAAGGACTACGCAGGAGATAATGCCAGACTGAGAGGCTTAGGGCATGGATGGGAGGATGGGACCCAAGGACAGGGAAATGTGGAGACACAGACAGACAGAGACCAGGATAGGGACACACAGTCAGAGGGTGGGCTTAGAAATGCAGAAACTCAGTGAGAACTGGAAAGAAGAAGTGCTATGAGGGATTTCACTTCCTGGTAGAAACACAGGGAGATGAACAAGGACGAAGGCCACCCCTTCTCATCACCCTCAGTTCTCCAGCACTCAGCAAGAACAGAAAACCCTTTTTAGCATGGAGAAAAGGATAAGTGGGTAAACTACTTTCCAGATCCTTTATCTGCAGTTTTTCCCAGCCCAGAATTTTCATCATGATGGAACATTCTTCTGTGAAAGAATCATCCCTGTTTTAGGCAGAATAACAGCCCCCACAGAGGTCTCTGTCCTCATCCCTGGAGCCTATGAATATGTTAAATTATGTGGGCAAGCAGGGGGACTGAGGATGCAGAAAGAATTCAGGCCACTGATCAGTGAACTGATGGGCAATTATCAGCTCACCCACATGGGTACAAAGTAATCACCAGGGTCTATATAACAAGTGAGAGAGAAAGACAAAAGACAGGGTCAGAGTGACCAGACCCAAGAGGCCATGAGTCAAAGAACAAGGACAGCTTCGAGAAACTGGAAAAGGCAAGGAATCAGATTCTCCCAGAACCTCCTAAAGGGACCGGCCCTGCCAACACCTGGTATTCAGCCCAGTGGCTAAAGATTTTGTACTTTTGACCTCCAGAACTGCAAGATAATAACTCTGTGCTGTTTCAAGACATCAAGTTTGTGGTAATTTTTTACAGAAGCAAGAAGAAACTAACACAACCCCCATATCCTTGCCATGAGGGTAGCGACACCGCTGCCCAACCCCACAAGATCAGGCTAAGCTGGCCAAGCAGCCCTTTGACTTCTGACCTCTGCTGTTGAGACTACAGGAGGCCTATACTTCTCCCAGTCAACACAAAGTATTTTCCTGGCTCATTAAGGTGCACACATCAAACTGTGGGTTTTCAATCTCTTCAGGGGCAAGCCCCCTGATTCATTCAAGAAAGAAAATATATTAAGGGGCAAGAAGAAGAATCTAGCTTCTCCTAAGAGTTCTTTTTCCTGCTTTCAGAACTTCAGCAAGACAAGCTCTCCTGCCTATAAACTATGTCTGCTGACCAGCTTTGGGGGGTTCTGAATCCAATAAAGAAGAAAAAAGACAGTATTTTCTACATTGAAAATGCTGCTGACAGAGGATATATGCTGGGAGCCTCCACTTCAGGCACCGGAGCCTCCACTTCAGGAAGGATGCCCTGCATCTGTGTGAAGGACACACATGGTCCCTCCACCACCTTTCCACATTTGTCATCACCACAGGTTGGGGCACCACAAGCTGCTAGCACTGTTTAAGCCTCTCAGGGTGATGCCTGCACAGCAGACCCTGAAGTGAGCACTGGGAGGGCCCAGACACGCACTTGCAAAAGAACTCACCTCTGTAGTCAAAGGTGACCACGTGGTAACCAAGGGAACTCAGCACCTGTAAAGTGAAAAATAAATATCTGGGCAACAAATCCATGCATCCTGGATCGAGGGCAACTTGCCTCCGACTAAACCCAGTCTAATTCAGTCTTAGTGCCCTGCACACAATGGGAGCTTAATAAAGACTGGTACCATGCTGCCCCATTATAAAACCCAGATGTCAACTGCTGCTACAGGACACGGGTGTGCCCTCTGCCTCAGGAATATAGGAAGAATGGCTCTCCCACAGGTGAGACTGCTAGAGTACCTCCACACTCACACGGGCTCACAGGGCAGACACCCAGAGACCAGAGACCCAGGGGGAGGGCCTCTATGGTGCAGAGACTGCATCTGGGATTCTGACTGCAACCTAGCATTTCTCAGACTTTAAGTTTCTGTTGAATTTTTCTGTTATAAGAACAAAATCCCTCCAGACTGTATGATCTCTTGCATTAGATAACTATTCACAGCCCTTGCCTGAGCCCTCCTGGAGTGTGCCCAGAGCCAAGTGAAAGCTGCCAGGCACAAACTTCCCCCAAATCACCCAAGGCGGTGTGCTCCTTTCTCCTTAGGCTGCCCCAGGGCGGCCTACAGCACTTCCTTCCAGCTCCACGCTGCCTGCCTAGCCTGCACCTCCAGGGTCACACCTGCTCCAGGTAGGAAGTCTTTCTGTGAATACAAACCTCAACTGGGGACCACAGCTCTGCAAGCACACCCCCTCTCTGACTTGATCCAATTCACTCGAGGAAACAAACCCACCAAGAGCCCATAGCAGCCCCTGTCCTCGGTGTATGAGGGACAGAGCAGTGCCCACATGATACAGATATTCCCACACATCTGCATCTGTCCCTCTTTGCTGGGTTAGCCAATGCAGACATCCACCCATGTGAGGAGAGGACGTGGGAGATGGCGCGGTGAGGCCCTGGCACTCTGGAGTCAACTATACGTTTCAGGCTCTGAGACTCAAGCTTCTGAAGAAGACAAGCAGGCAGAAGTGAGGGTCTAAAAGCCTGCCTAGGAGACACACTGTCACCTCCCCCAGGTCGGCTGTGGGCCTCCTCCTTGGTGCACCTCCTGCAGAGGTGAGATTTCCATGTGGCAGAGCTCCTGACCCTGCAACTTGGCAGAAGTGTGGCTCCACTTCTGCTCTCAGTAGTACTTGTTTTATAGGAGAAACACAGCATTTAACAATTTCAAATGCCTTTAATATAATTGTCAATATCTGGCATCTGATTCCCAAAGTTCATTCATTCTGCTTTTGGAAGCTCTCCCTAGAGGCAGCATTATAGGGAAGCACTCCATGGTAATGGCTTCTGTGAAGGCAGTGTTGGAAAAGCCAATGCAGATCAACTCTCACAAGTACTGGAGGGACTCACTTATGTTCATGTCTCCTGGGAAGAGCAGTGGGAAACATTTAGGTGATGTTCTCTCCTTCCTATACCATATGGACACCGCTCTGCACATCATACACACTTTGTATTTTGCTTTGCTTGTTTTACACTGAGTACCCCACTGCCCGTCATCACACTGAGAACCCCACTCTGTCCATCATCCACATGTGGACCCCACTTTGCCCGTCATCACACTGTGGACCGTACTCCACCCATCATCCACAATGTGGACCCCATTCTTCCCATTATCACACTGAGAACCCCACTCTGCCCATCATCCACATGTGGACCCCACTTTGCCCGTCATCACACTGTGGACCCTACTCCACCCATCATCCACAATGTGGACCCCATTCTTCCCATTATCACATTGAGGACCCCACTCTGCCCGTCATCCATACTGTGGACCCCACTCTGCCCATCATCACACTGTGGACCCCACTTTGCCTGTCATCACACTGTGGACCCCACTCCGCCCATCATCCACACTGTGAACCCCACTCCACCCGTCATCCACATTACAGACCTCACTCCACCCATCGTCACACTGTGGACCCCACTCCACCCGTCATCCACATTGTGGACCCCATTCTTCCCATTATCACACTGAGGACCCCACTCTGCCCATCATCCACACTGTGGACCCCACTCTGCCCATCATCACACTGCGGACCCCACTTGTCCATCGTCACACAGTGGACCCCACTCTGTCCATCACACTGTGGACCCCACTTTGCCCGTCATCACACTATGGACCCCACTCTGCCCATCATCACACTGTGGACTCCTACTCTGCCTGTCATCACACCGTGGACCCCACTCCACCCATCATCCACTTTGTGGACCCCACTCCGCCCTTCATCACACTGTGGACCCCACTCTGCCCATCATCCACATTACAGACCCCATGCCGCCCATTGTCACACTGTGGACCCCACTCCACCCATCATCACACTGAGGACCCCACTCCATCTGTCATCACACTGTGGACCCCACTCTGCTCATCATCCGCATTGTGGACCCCACTCCATCTGTCATCACACTGTGGACCCACTCCACCCGTCATCATACTGAGGACCCCACTCTGCCTGTGGTCACCACACTGTTTGTCATACAACTGTGTGCCATCCTCACCTACCTTGTAAAGCTCCACTCGGTGGTCACCTCCTCTAAAGAATCAGGGAAAAGGAAACAAGAATGGGTGTTAGCACATCTTTTAAAAAAGGCAGGCCCCAGGGTCAGTACTGGAGTGTCTGGGTCTGTAGTGACTTGTTCCTTCAATACATACAAAGAGGGTCAATGGTGATAGGTGACCTCCTCTGCAGGGCACCCTAAGTGGCTCCAAGCTTATTTCTGACAGTACCATGCCAAGCAAGGGACAGCCTTAGTACTTTTGGGATATTTCTTATTTATTACCATACTTGTATTTTTGACTAGGTAATACATGCATACAATACAAAATCCAGAAGACACAAAAGAATGCACAGTAAGCCCCTCACTCCTGCCCAGGATCCAGCTCTTCCCTCAAGTCCCCCGTGTCAGGGACCACCATGTAGGCAGAGACGAAGGTGCTTGTTTACCATAGGTACCTGCCACATACTCTACTGCCTCTCACTTTTTTAGTATATGTGCTGCCGAAGCGAGCATGGCCTCTCACTTTTTAAAAAAAAAATGCTTATTTATTTATTCTAAAGATAGAGTATGAGTCGGGGAGGGAAAGAGAGAAAGAAAGAGAGAGAGAGAGAGAGAGAGCCAGAGAGAGAGAGAGACAGAGAGAATCCCAAGCAGGCTCCAGGCTCAGTGCATAGCCCAACGTGGGCTCAATCTCATGACCACAAGATCATGACCTGAGCCAAAATCAAGAACAGGACACTTAACCACCCAAGCCACTCAGGCACCCCTGTCTCTCATTTTTCACTCAGTAAATCACAGCCAACTTGCAGTATTTGCAGTTCCCCTCTGCCTTATCTTGCAGTTGTTCTGGCTCTTTCCTATCTGCTGTTAACCTGAGTTTTGCTGCCATGTCCAGCCTGTGCTGATACCCCTTTGCAAACGTGACATGTGATCCATGTGTGGAATATGTTCCTACACACAGAACTGCTGGGTAGAAGGTGTGTGTGATCATAAACTTAACTATTACTGCCCAGCCATCTTCAGAGGGGCCCTGGCCCATCTCCTAGCCCCACACTCACACACTAGCGTGTAGTGGACACTTATTACTGAGGCTGAACAGGCTTTTGTGCACCCGAACTGTTATGTGTGTCTACACTTCTTTGTCCGAGGACTATCTACCCCTTCTCACACTTTCTGTCCAGTTATTGGTCAATTGGTCAGCTGTTACTGTGGACAGACACCAAAGTGGGGATGGGGCTGCCTCAGGAAGGAAAGTGTGTCAATGGGCAGGCTCACCCTGTCTAGCCTTCTTAATGGTTTTCCTTTTTTATAGCTAAGAGCACTCTGGCCATTTTGGGGGTGTGTGTGTGTGTGTGTGTGTGTGTGTGTGTGTGTGTGTGTGTGGGCAGGGACTGTCACTGAGAGAGACAAGGATGAGACAAAGGAGGAAAACCAATACAATGAAGCCACAGAAATACAAGGGAATAAATTTCAGGACCAGAAGGAAATAATGTAAAATGTTTTCAGTTATCTTTGGAGGCATTCATGGTGGCTTTTGTCTAGATTGTTCAAATTCCCCACCTTGCACAAAAAGAAGAGGTTGAGCACATGATAAAATGTGAGGCAGTAGCCAGGGACTGGACCCCAGGGAGCCAGGGCCACTGCAATCCTGCTAGGCCAAGGGGTGGCCAGCAGATCTATGTAGGCAGTCTCTGGGGAGACAGGGAGGGGGCAGCAACACTTTCAAAGTCTCAATGCTCCTTCAAACCGGAAGTTTAGGCTACTCTTTTTTACCATGTGACTGGCATTGCTTAACTGAAGCTTATTCCCAGTAAACTATGAACTTCCCTCATTTATACAAAGATGCTACCAGAGCTATTAGTAACCACTTACTCTTTGAAAAGCAGAAGAGAAACCCACTGTAGTTTGTCCCAGACAAAGAGGAAAGTAAACTGCCAAGTGCATGCATGATTCTGCAGATACACACTCTGCTCTCTCCAGGCTCACACACCATCCTTGCAGGCTTCACTTCCTGGACTTCCTGCAGTGTCCACTGTGCAGCCCCTCTGCTCCAACACCACCATGCTTTCCTTGCCCCTCCAGAAAGGCCCATGAATTGATCTCCTTGTTGGTTCTGCCTATAAAATCACATCCCCCCAGCCAAGGTGCCACACTGACCCTCACCCAGACCCTGCTGTGGCCCTCCCTCCTGTCGGCTCCTGCTGGCTCTTTCTCACACACCCTAAGGAAGCTGCAACAACAGTGACCCTCCTGGAGGTTTTCAGGCACTGCTTTGTTCAGAAAATGCACCTCCTCCCTCCTCACCCTGCTCTTCCAGACACTCTTCTGTAAGGTCAACCACATGGGTAGAAGGAACAGACCCCCACCCTGGGATGACAGACCCTCCCAGCTAATCTGAAGGACACATCACTAAAGCCACTCTTGAAAAGCACCTGGGATAAACCTGGGCAAAGGGTTTTGCCTGGTACAGACAGTGCCTCAGCAGTGGCCCAGCAGGACACACTGGCATCATTGACTTATAGCTGGGATAGACAACTCACACTCATCAGCTGATGTGACAGCACTGACAAGCCTGTCTGCGCACACCCAGCTGGGGTGCCTCTGGCCTCCCTCTGCTTTTGGCCACCCCTCCTTTGATGTCACCCCCACCTCTCAGCAATCATCGCCCCTTGCAAGGAAGTATGCCTTTGCCTGCAGACGGGCACGCCTGCCAGTGAGAAAGTGCCAGACTGCCTGCGACCCTCACAGAGGGATGACAGACTCTCATACTGGGAAGACAGATCCCCACCCTTGGACAACAGATACTTACCCTGGGACGACTGACCCTCCTCATACAGGACAACAGACTTCCACACTGGGATGACAGATCCTCACACTGGGACAACAGACTCCCACACTGGGATGACAGACCCCCACACTGGGACGACAGATCCTCACTCATACTGGGATGACACACCCCCACACTGGGATGACAGACCCTCACACTAGGATGACAGACTCCACCCTGGGATGACAGACCCCCACCCTGGCATGACAGATCCTCACACTGGGATGACAGATCCTTACCCTGGGATGACAGACCCCCACCCTGGGATGACAGAGCACCCCCTGGGACAACAGATCCTCACGGTGGGACGACAGACCCTCACCGTGGGATGACAGGGGTGGCTGATGAACAGGAGACAGCATTCCGCAGGGGTGCTGCAGTCCTTAAGTGTCACAATGACCCCTCTGAGGGACCACTGTTCCTTACTCAGAGAAACTTATTTCCTAAATCACAGGCCCTCACTTTGCCCTTTAAATTCTATCAGGAAGAAGGAAACACCCACTCTGGCCCAGAATCTGGGTCACTATGACAGAAACACAGCTTCCTCCACTCCACCTAGGTGCCAGGCTCACATAAGGGGTTTCTGGACACAGCTTCCCATACCTGCTTAACACAGGAGTTCCCAGGGTGCCTGGGTGGCTCAGTTGATTAGGCATCTGATTCTTGGTTTTGGCTTGGGTCATGATTTCATGGTTCATGGGCTCGAGCCCCAAGTCAGGCTGTGTGCTGATGGTGTGGAGCCTGCTTAAGATTCTCTCTCTCTGCCCCTCCCCTGCTTGTGCTCCCTCCCTCAAAATAAATAAATAAACTTAAAAAAAAAAAAAGGAGTTCCCAAGGAAACTGCACCTGGGCTCATCATGCACACAGCCCACTTTGCTCTGAGCCTATAGGGACACTGCTTCATGAAAGTTTCACCTTGACCCCTTTTCCCCAAACTCCATAAACACTGCCTTTTCCTGTGCTCTCAGGATGCTCCATGGCCCCAATGTCTGCACACTCCCTCACTGCAATGGATCAGTAGAACCAACTGGGCCAGGACCTTCCCACCTCATAAAGGAGTCAGAGAAGACATACTGTGTGGGCTCCTCTTCCTCACCTGGTGCCTGCATTTCCGTGCAGGTACAGGATGATAGGGTGGCTGGTAGCCAAGGCATCCTCATACCACATCTGGTCCTTTCCTTGGGCGTCCTTCCACCAGACAGCAGGGACAGTGTGCCTGAAACAGAAGCAGAGCAGAGTGACATAATCAAATGATGGCAATTGTTGATAGAATGATGGAGGAACAGAGTCACAACTGAGCAGAGAACAGGACAGAAGGGCTGGAGAGACAAACTGCCCTCATCACAAGGAGAAATAACTACAGAGCTTCCAGCTACAGGGATGGTTTCTGACAGATTTCCTGACTTGCACCTGGGCCCCCTCTGGGCCACAGAAGCTCCCTCTGGTAGCAGTTGCGTGGGGCAGGGGTGAGTATGAGGTAGGGTTTCTCGCGTGTGAACTGGAGTTCTGTAAGGTACAATCTATTCTGGCTCAGTCACCAGGCTTCACCTGGGCCTTACACAGAATGAGCACTTAATAAATACTAGCCAAGTAACATCATTTTCTCTTATACATACCTATACTTAAAAAAAATTTTTTTTAATGTTCATACATACCTATATTTTTAAACTGTACACAATTTAACTCACAACGTACTTAAGATAGTTCATGTTATCATGGGTGCTAATTCAGCAACACTGATCTTTATGAGCTGGACTAGAAGCCTGGCCATCCTTAAAGCACCCTTTCTAATGCACAACACATTCAAGGGCCTGCTCACAAGGCATCTGGGAGCAGACCCATCTCTGTAGGAGGAGATGCTGCAGGCTGACATGCTGTGTGGATGAACTGGCAATAAGCCTGACTCATCCCACACCTGGCCAGGCAGGTGGGCTCGGTCTCTCTGGCCAGAACTGTCCTCCAGGGAGATGCTCCGGTTAATCTGAAGTCAGTCCACAACAAATACTGTTAATCACAGAGGAGGGTCTGTAAAACATACATTTATTAGCAAGAATGTTTGAAAGTATTAAATGGCCATTTTTTTAATTTTCTAGCTCTTAAGTTTTAGTATTTAATTTCTAACATTTCTTTCGTTCGTTCCAGAGGCTTGCATTTTGGGTGATTCTGACCATAATTATCACTCTCTGGCAATTACAAATCCATGGGATGGAAAGGCACATTTTAAAGGTGCTGGAGAACACCTGGATGGCTCAGTTGGTTAAGTGTCCGACTCTTGGTTTTGGCTCAGGTCATGATCTCACAGTTCCATGAGTTTGAGCCCTGTATTGGACTCTGCACTGGCAGCATGGAGCCTGCTTGGGATTCTCTCTCTACCCCCACTCTCTAAGCCCCTCCTCCACTCATGCTGTGTCTGTCTCTCTCTAAATAAACAAACTAAAACAAAGTTAAATACAAAAAATAAAGGTGCTTGAAGCTGATTCACTTCCGGGAAGCAGCCTACTCCAAACCGGAGGCTCCTAAAGGCCAGGGAAGGTCACAGTCAGAGGGAAGGGACCCTATTTTCCCAGGGCTCTCCTGCCCTCTGCCAGGTAGAGAGTTTATGCCCATAGACAAGCAACTGAGAACAAGCCTACTGCCACCCGAGGGCCCACACAGTCATGAAAACACAGGGTGCAGACGTGGGCAGGCAGCAGGGCCCCAGCAGCATACAGCTTGGCTGTCACTACCCTTGGTCTCACCATTGTTGTCACTAAGTACAACCTTCTTGTGTGACTGCTGTGAGAGCTTTCAGCCTATCAGCACCACAAACACCCCTCCTGCTATATAACTGCCCTACCTGAGGAAGAGGTCCCCACTAACTCCCTGTGTCTCAAAGCACAGACCACACTAACCAGCAGGAGGGCTGACTAATTCCCTCACCAAAGAGCTCTGAGCAAAACACGCCAAGCTTCTGATTGAAGACAGAAGAGCAAAGTGTCCCATGCATACACATTGGTCAGCAAATGCAAGATTAAATTAAACCAGCAATAACAAAAGACTAGTGCCAGCATCAACTCCTAGAACAATAATCTCCCTTCCTATTTTATATTCTTTACCCAGGACCATTAGAAATGCCTGAACTTCCCCACAGCCCACACTGGGAAGCCACCCACAGCATTTTGTTTAGAAGCATCTCACATACACAGCAGTTTTCTGTGACAGCAGAGAGAGACATTATGGCTACTGAAAGGGAAACCCAGCCACATAAAGGGGCAGTGATGCTGAGCTGCTTCTGAGAGAAAAAGGAAAACACCACAGAAAATTGGTCAATTTTAATTTAGTTGTTCAGAAACACCCACTTTTCCACAGCGAAAAAAACATGAAAATAGATTCCAAGGAGTCACAGAGAAGTCACAGAGCTTACATCCAATTTAAATTTGTGGCTCAAAAAAGTAAATATGAGGAAGATAGCAAACACCATCATTATCAACTGCTGGGAGTGCTGCACATGAAAGAAATCCAGCTATCTCCAATGTTTAGATGCTCCCTTCTCTGAGAAGAAAGGGTGCATTTCGAACCTGTGCTCATGATTCCATACTCATACTCTCCTTTTTCCCCCTGGAAATAAAGTTCTCTGCAACAAACAGCCTGGTTCACAAAGCCTTCGCTATTTGAAAATCTCAGAACAGAATTTGGTGCCATCTCATCGTGTTCCATCCATTAGGATCAAATTTAGCCAAGATCTCTGCTTTGGAAACAGAGGAGGGTGAAGATAAAAATGGATGCACAATCGTCTTGGACAACATTGGCCACACTGCCCAGCACTCACCAGACTCCAATGGTCACGTCTTCCTCTGGCTGGAGGTAGTAATTACACGTGTGATTCAAACCTTGATCCTGCGGTTTTTTCAAGTCAATGAAATAGGGAACCCTCACTGTGGGGGGACAAAGAGATGGAAACCAGGATTAGTGGGGGCAGATGGACACACACGCACACACGTGCACACACATACAGCAGAGGCAAAGCTCTTAAGAAGCGCAAAGTCTTTTCCAAAGCAAGAATGCCAGGTGCACAGGGCCCTCCAGCCTCAGATGCAGAGCTGAGAGAGAGGTGCTGGAATACTGCAAGCACACCTGCACATCCTCCAGCAAGGACGAGGTCTGAGTAGTGATGGTCCTCTGATGGTTGTTCAAGGTGAGAAGATACAAGTGAGGGAAAGCAAGATCCCCGAAGAGCCTCAGGGACATTGTGGCCCTAAGAGAGGCTGGAGATGGGGAGGCCAGCCAGGCCTGGCTAAGCCGCAACTGAAGGCTGGAGTCAGGGTGCTGGTGGAAGGGACTGTGGGAAAAGTGACAGGCAGATGGCGTGTTCTGGAGCTGGGGCCACAGCACTCGGTGACCAAGTGATTGTGGGTATGAGTCAGTCAAGTGGGGTCCCAAAGTTTCTAAATCCGTCACTTCATGCTGACAGGCCAGTGGAAGATAAGGTATGGGCACAGGGAATCCACAGAGTCCATCCAGAGTTGAGTGACGCTGAGTGGAACTGTACAGCAGGAGCCCTAGATTTTATAGGTCACCTGCCAAGAGGACAAGATTCTGTGGGGCACCTACACTAAGGAAAATCCGGGAGCCTTTAGCTGGAGACCAGTCAAGACCCACTGACCTGGAGGAATGTCCGTGAACTACAGGTAGAAAAGCAGGGAAGGAGAGAGATGACATGTATACTGCACAGTCCTACACTGCTATTGTAAAGACAAGCAAGCAACATCACACCACCACCACCCACATGTGACTTGTAAAGAAATACAGGAAGACACAGGCCAGGCTGTTAGTGAAGAGTGTGTGTGTGTGCACATGAGCACATGCACAGGGCAGATAGGGGATATTTAATTTTTCCTTTATATACTATTGTACTTTTACTTTTGTGGCGAACACAATTTTTAAAGATATATTTAGTTAAAAATTGAAACACTTAAAAAAAACCCAAAACCTTAAGGTGCAACTTACTTTATAAAATGGCAACTCCCAAAAGGGGTAGCAACAAAGAGCAGGATGGTACTGACTAGCCAATCCCACCTTGCATAAGGGAGTCACATACCTCTGTACAGTTTTCTTTGGTGAAGAGAGTAGTTTCATCACATAACTGCACATATCCACATGGTACAAAAGTCAAACATACTCATCTCCTGTTATCATCCCATTTGTGAGCCACAACCATTGATCTCCCACCTCAGGGCCTTTGCACTTGCTGTCCTCACAACCTGAGTGCTCTCCTGCCACATACCTGCACATCTAGCTCTCACTTCTTCAAATGCCCATTGCAGCTCACTACATATTTGCTGAAGAAATGAAATACCCCCTCGGGAGGACATGGGGGTACACACAAGCTCCTTCCCCAGAAATGCCCTGAGAATTTCACACCATGCAAGGAGACAAATCCACTCACCAAGGCTGCTGCCTGTACCTCCAGTTTCTTAACCCATCTCTTCCCTAAGAAGCAGGCTAAATTTTTTCAACTTTAATCATTCCTTTCTCTCAAAAGAAGAATGGCCATCAAAGGAGGTAGCATCACACTTCCTGGTGTTCCCACCATGCCAGCCCTGCACTGCGCATACCCTCCTGTAGTGCTTCCTGTGATGTGCATACCACCACTTCCATTTTACGGCTCTTGTTAAGTCACCAGCTCACATATCACAGAACTGAGACTTGCACCCAGGCAGCCTGACTCCACAGCCTACACTCTTGGCTAATCAGATGGGAAGGAAGAAGGGAAATGGCTCTGATACAGACTGGCCCTAATGTCCTTTCTAGGGGTTGATTAGTGCCCCCCCAAAGAGATACACTGAAGTCCCAACCCCCAGCCCATCAGAATGTGACTTTATTTGGAAATAGGGTCTTTACAGAGATAATTAAGCTAAAGTGAGATCATGAGGTGGACCCTGATCCAGTGTAAGTGGTGTCCTCATCAAAAAGGAAAATTGGGACACTGACACAGATAAGGACAGAGGAAGACAGTGTAAAGACACCAGGAGGAGGCAGCCGCATGACCACAGAGGCAGCTACAAGCCGAGGAATACCACGGACTACCAGCCACCACCAAAGGCTAGGAGGAGGCACAGAAGGACTGTGCCCAGAGTCTCAGGGAGCATGGGCCTGCGACATCTTGATTTCAGGCTTCCAGGCTCTAGAACTGGGAGAGAATAAAATTCTGTTGTTTTAAGCCAGCCAGTTTGTGGTTATTTGTTACATCTGCCCCCAGGGATGAATGTGGCCATGCTCTGGAGCTCAGATCTTACTCTGGCAATGGGACTCAGAGAAGCCTCCCTACCAGAAGGCCCTTGGAAAGGACCTCTCTTTCTTGTGCTATTTCAGACACAGGTACCTACTCCTGCAATCTCCATTCTGGGACTTTGTTCCATGTTGTGGAAACTGAAGGCTGCAGCTTATTGGGCCAGTTCATCATCTGACAACTGTGAAGTGAAATGACTTCCTCAATAAAACTGAAAACCGGAACCTGGTGCCCACTGTCCATTCCACACCCAGTCTGTCTTAATTCCACTCCTGAGGCTGGAATTACCCACCCTCCACCTCCCATGCCAAGCAGAAAGTTAGTGTCATCAAGGACTGAGGGCATTTGGCTTCCACTGGCTCAGCTCTCAGGCCTCAGGCTGGTTCTGTGTCGGAAGAGAAGGCGGCCAAGCTACTTACAAACTTCCCCAGTGCTCTGAGAGGACCCCCTACCTGTGAAAAGTGTTTAATGAGGATTGGCAGCTAATCCCAAAAGCTTCCAGGCCTGAGAAATCTAGGAACTGAGAAGCCAAATTCTACTCCAGGAGGACCTCATTCCCCAAAACTTATCTTCCAGTTCACCTTTATTTCTGTTTTAGAAATATCCATGAAAAAGGAGGCAGTGAATGCACCAAGTCCAGCAAATGCCACCTGTAAACCTCTCTGGAGTGAAGGTCCCTGGTCAGTCCGGGGTGTCAGAGAGCTCCAGAGAGTTAAGTGGCCAGAGGAACCACTGGGAACTACTGGTCTGAGTGAGCAGAAACTCCACAAAGGGCCAGGTCAAGTGGTGCAAGGAGGAGGGTTGTGGGATCTGCCCAGGCCAGAACACACCTCACTCCTGGTGTCCAGGAACAAATGAATACCAGGACCCTTTGACCTCCTGTGTGATCACATCCCTTGGCCATATGACCCTCCGAGACCCTGCTTCTTCCATAGGGTTGAGTCAGGGACACAGCACAGGGCCCATTGGCAGTGCACAAGGTGCGTGGCAGGGGCAGGAGTGAGGAGTCTGGGACAGGGACAGGAACAATGACTGAGCTCCTCATGGCTATGTATGTAAGTTCGGCCTCACATACAGCTTAACTGCACAGCCCAGGAACCCAAAACACAGGCCGCTGTGTCCACAGGCCAGCAGGGCCCAACCAGCTGCTTCAACCCTTCCTTCCCATTTTGCATTATCTGCCCCCTGGCCACACCGTCACTTACCAGCAACCACCTACCAATGCTCATGATCCCGCACAAATGGTGCTCAGTGAATAACCAGTGAGTACATAAATGAACAGAAAACAACCTCATCTATTATCCCTTCTTTAGACCATCTGGAAAATATGTGATAGGGTGAGAGGCTATGGCTACTTAGCCATAATAGACATTTTTCACTGCCTGACATTTTAAATATTGGGGCTACCTTTCATCCCAGTCACTGATGCACTGGAAGAGTGCTAACAAGGTGCTAACAAGGGGAGGGCCAGAGGGCCCTGGGTTTTATCAAATTTTAACTACATGATGTGGGCTGTAGGGGCTTCCCTAATAAGAAAAGGGGTAAGAAAGGAAAATAGTATGGAGGTTCCCCAAAAAATTAAAAATAGAACTATCCTATGATTATACTGTGTGGATATTTACCCCCAAAATACAAAACCATTAATTCAAAAAAATATATGCATCCCCATGTTTATTACAGCATTATTTACAATTGCCAGATTATGGAAGCAGCTCAAGTGTCCACGGATAGACAAATGAATAAGGACAATGTAGCGTGTGTGTGCGTGCACACACACACACACACATACACACACACCTGACTATTAATCAGACATAAAAAAAAGGGCCATAGCTTCCCATTGTGACAACATGGATAGATCTATAGTGTATTATGCCAAGTGAAATAATCAGAGAAAGACAAATACCATATGATTTCATTCATATGTGGAATCTAAAACAAAAACAAATGAATAAACAAGCAAAAAGCAGAATCAGACCTACAAACACAGAGAACAAACTGATGGTTGCCAGAGAGAAGTGTTGGCGGGGGAGCAGGCGGGGGTGGGGGGACGATGGGCAAAATAGGAGAAGGGGAGTGGGAGGTACAGGATTCCAGTTCTGCAGTAAGTTAGTCACAGGGATGAAAGGCACAGCATAAGGAATAGTCAATAATACTGTAATCATGTTTATGATATACTCGTGGTAAGCACAGCCTAATTTTTAAACTTACCCAGTCACTATGCTGTATACCTGAAACTAATGTAACATTGTGTGTCAACTACACTCAAATAAAAAAAATTTAAAAGAAAGACAGCTATCAAGGGTTAACAGGGACTGCTAAGAGGAAGGAAAAAGAGGAAGCTTAAGAATTATTGTCCCAGAGAATGTTAAAGCAAGTTGGCTGGCCTTCTGCTTTAAAAACAAATATATAATTTATATATCTAACCTATTTCCAAAAAAAGGCCCAAGGTAATGTGCAGAGGAGCAGTTCTGTGCAGGCCTCTGAACTGAAACATTCCTTTCACCAAGAGATAGTTCTAGATCTGAGGGGAAAAGAACTGCAGAGAAGATAGTTAGATTTCATTACACAGCCATAAAAAAGGATGAGATCTTGCCATTTTGAGACAACACAGATGGTATATGCTAAGTGAAATAAATCAGAGAAAGAGAGATACCATATGATTTCACTTACACGTGGAATCTATAAAACAAATGGAATCTACAAAACAAAAGAACAAACAAACAAAAAAACTGAAACCAGACCCACAAATACAGAGAACAAACTGGTGGTTGCCAGAGGGGAAGGGGGTGGGAAGACGGGCAAAATAGAGGAAGGGGACGAAGAGGTACAAACTTCTAGTTAAATACATATATCATGAAGATAAAAAGTACAGCACAGGGAATACAGTCTATAATATTGTAGCAAATTAGTATACTGACAGATGGTAACTACACTTATTGTGAGGAGCCCCGAGAATGCATATAATTGTTGAAGCTCTGTGTTATACACCTGAAACTAATGTAATACTATATGCCAACTATACTTCAGTTTAACAACAAAAAAGTTATCTAGACTTCAAGACCACAAATACTGGGTATCACCCAACATCACTGAGATGGAATCATACTTTTGAACCTGAGTATGAAAAGCACATATATTTATATTTATGTGTAGAGACTCAGACAAAAGAGACCAGCAGGAAATATATAAGCAACAAAGTTAACAATTTTCTCAGAATGATTTTCTTTTTCTTCTTTTACTACCATTCAGGGCTTTGCAGTTAATTTTGTTTTTGGAATGATCATATATTTTTTGCTTATGAAATATATTCAAAGTAGAATAATGCCTGAAACCATATGAGCTAAGCTTTTTCTAAAGCTTATTTATCTGATTTATGAATTTGATTTCAGATAGATTTGGCGTGAAGTTAAGAATATATTCTTGAGGTGCCTGGGTGGCTCAGTCGGTTGAGTGTCCAACTCTAATTTTGGCTCAGGTCATGATCTCAGGGTCATGGGATGGAGCTCTGTGTCAAGGCTCTGTGCAGATCATGGAGGCTGCTTAAGATTCACTCTCTCTCCCTCTGCCCCTCTCCCCACTCACATGCTCACTCTCTCTCTAAAATAAAAATTAGGGGCGCCTGGGTGGCGCAGTCGGTTAAGCGTCCGACTTCAGCCAGGTCACGATCTCGTGGTCCGGGAGTTCGAGCCCCGCGTCGGGCTCTGGGCTGATGGCTCAGAGCCTGGAGCCTGTTTCCGATTCTGTGTCTCCCTCTCTCTCTGCCCCTCCCCCGTTCATGCTCTGTCTCTCTCTGTCCCAAAAATAAAAAATAAACGTTGAAAAAAAATTTTTTTAAATAAAATAAAATAAAATAAAATAAAAATTAAAAAAAAAAATATATATATATATTCTTTAATCAGGTTCTGAGGCCCAAAAGACTGTTAGACTTCCTTTAGTGTCCAAATTGAAATCCATAGGATCATGATTCACATTTCGAGGAGACAAAAATGGAGGTGCTACTCCAACACGCTAGCCCTCCAGCACCATGGGGTGAAACTTCCAAAACACTGCAGGGCTACACTCGAGACCCCCACAATCCTACAGAGGAGGTGACCTCACTACCATGCAGCAGACATGTGGAAGGAAAGGGTAAGAGACCAGCATCTCCTTGTGGAGGTGCAGAGGACTGGCCTACGAGAACCCCAAAGTTCTGCTCCACCAACCAAGCAACATTTGTGGGCTGTGTCTAAAGCAGCCCAAATAACTGATTTAAAGAGAATCAATTCAATTCAAATTATTTGCTGGGACCCCACCATGTGGCAAAGGTACCTGCCCAAAGCACCCAGAGGCTTACAGAGTTGGAAAAGTCATTCAATCCTAAGATCTGCCATCAGGGAATATGCAGCCCTATAACTTCATGTTTACATGTAAACTCAAACTCTCTTCTGTGCTGGACCAACTGTGGACATTTAAGAGTTAAAGTCAGAAAAATCAAAGCTCCCTTGATTTTACTATGTTGTTAGTTCTTTTTAAGTTTGTGTTTCTCACACTGGCAAAAACTTAGACAAGATAAATTCCTAGAAACTCAGCTAAGTTTGTTAGAAAAATCAAATGCCTCTTGGCATACAAGTATTTTACACTTATTTTAAGATACCAAGTAAAAAACTTACTTTAGATTTACAAAGTATTAAACATTGACCTTACTATTTCTCTTCCTCCTCCTACTGTTCCTCTTTAGAGCAGAAATGCCCTTTTAGCCAGTGACTTCCAAGTTTCTGTGATTAAATCCATTATAGGCTTAACAACCCTCAACTCGTATGCCCAGGCACCTGCAGAGCTACTATAGAAGAGAGTTCTGGAGTCCTGACACACCTGCCCCCAGTGCCACCCCACTCTCTGAACTTGTCTCAGGCCACAGTCACACAAGAGCCATCTCAACGCCTCCTGCCTGTCCTCCTCCTCATCTTCATGAGCTTCCTCCTCCCTCCACTCTACCAGCAACCCTGCTGCCTCCTCCCACAACATCAGCCCCAGCTTCTCAGCCTCTCCTCCCAAACACACACGGTTTAAACCCACTCTTTGCAAACCAACATAGCTAAAAGCACGCACAGAGCCTGCCTTGACTGGTTTGTGCCACCTACACCTGAGCTGAAGGCCATCACTTACAGAGCACCTGCTGTGTACCAAGCACCAAGTTCTATCCTCAAATTCTACCACCCACAGACCCAACCTCTTCCTTCCTAGCCTCATCTTGTAGGTGTAAAATGATGCTCCTGGAGAGGATTATTCCCAGCAATTATGTACTTGGGAGCCCTCTGCCTTCTGTTTCCTAAACTTGATACTTCTGGTCCTTTCTCCTCCCACTTGCACAAAAGTAAATACACAGCATGAATAAAAACCACACAAGATCCAAGTTAACTCAAGGAGACTACAGCACCCATAAAGTCAGCATATAATTCCATAGAAACCAAAGCATGTCAGGCTAATTTTTGTTTTTTTTTTTTTCCAGAAAAAGTCCTAATTATTTTTTTAAGGTGGTCATCTTTAAGTGGTCATCTTTTCCAAGGACAGTTAACCTCCTAGACTGCACAAGGGGCAAAGCATCTCCAACACAACAGCTTCAGAAGACTCTCCACATTGTTAACACTTTTACCCACTTCAGCTAAAGAAAGACCTCTGCCCATGCAGAAGTCACCTGTGTACACAGATACCAGCCCTGGAGAGTAATTCAGTCACTATAGCAGCCTGTGACCGGGAAGGGGCACAGGGAACTTTCTGGGTAATAGAAATGTTTCTATTTCTCGATCTGGGTGGTAGATATGCAAATATATAAATCATCATGCAAATGAACCCTTACTAAAATTAAAGGCAAAGTGGGCACGTGGTACTTACCAAAATTCAAGAAAATAAGTTTGGCCTGTATTCCAGGACATAGTTTGATGAGAAATGGAATGGCAACATACAACCCCAGAACACAGAGAAGAATCTTCCTCAGTCGGAACCACAGGCCCTTTCTCCTGTAAGAGAAGAGCAGTTAACAGGTCAAAGACAGCAGGTGCAATTTTGCTGTTTATTAACAGCTTTATCAAAATCACTAACTAAAATCCACATGTAGCTTTCCCCACAAGAATTTTGCCAGTAAGAAGACTAGCTTCCCACCTGCTTTTGTTAAAATAATTATTTTAGGGATGCCTGGGTGGCTCAGTCGGTTAAGCGGCCGACTTCGGCTCAGGTCGTGATCTCGTGGTCTGTGAGTTCGAGCCCCGCGTCAGGCTCTGTGCTGACAGCTCGGAGCCTGGAGCCTGTTTCAGATTCTGTGTCTCCCTCTCTCTGACCCTCCCCCATTCATGCTCTGTCTCTCTCTGTCTCAAAAATAAATAAACATTAAAAAAAATAATAATTATTTTAGACAGTCTTTCAATCTGAGCTTAGAACTCTATTGCAGAGAGATGGTTAGGGTATTTTCTCCTGAAAACCAACGAAAGATCCTGATGATTTCCTATGCTTGCCCTGGGATCAGAATACAGCACAGACATCAGATCCTTAGCAAGTGCCAAACCTGAAGTCCAATCGTAGCTGCAGCTTCATCTCAGGAGAGTGGCCATCTCGAGGCCGCATGATCACCGTCCTACAAGCCAGCCACAGGTGTGGGCTGCCCAATGGCTCCTCGTAGGAAGCAAGAACATCAACAGAACCTGCCCAACCAGGTCCAGGGAGGGAGCAGGAGGCTGACAACAAGACTGTGGCTAACACTGCCTGTCCCTACATTCCAGCCCACGTTCTATGTGGCACCACCTGATGGAGACCCCTTCTCCAGGCACCATGAGCCAGGTCTCCAGACCTCTTCTAAGCCCACTCAGTTCCAAGACTTCCTCATCCTGTTCCCGATGCCTTTTCAAAAATGTCCCTACTCTAGAGATTCTAAACTTCTTGGACTAAGGGTTTCTCAACAACTAAAATCCTGAAGCCCGCAAAGAGCTTCTGTTTACATGACTTATATTTATTACTATTTGTCATATGAGAAGTCATCTCATGAGGAGGGTGCCTGGGTGGCTCAGGAGGTTAAATGTCCAACTCTTGATTTCAGCTTGGGTCATGATCTTGTAGTTGTAAGATCGAGCCCTGCTTCGGGTTCCGTGCTGGGCATGGAGCCTGCTCAGGATTCTCTCTTTCCCTCTCCCTCTGCCCCCACCCCATCCATGCATACTATCTCAAATTAAAAGAAAATCTATTCATGTATCTAACAAGAAATCGATTACATGTTAATATAATTAACATTTTTAATAAAATATATTTTCCAATACAAAAACTTTTAGTGAGAAGAGTAGCATTAACATTTTTACAAATTTAAGCCAGACAACTTAATAGAAGACAGATTCCATCTGTTTCTGCAACCAATCTACAGATGATACCACACATCATGTAGCATCTGGAAAACTCAGATAATGAGTGAAAAATGCAAATAACATCTTAGGGTTATTATGAAAATCATTTTGGCTTTGTGGACATTCTTAAAGGATCTTGCAGAGCACCCTTGGGAACTGCTGTTCTTACAAACCAAGTCCAAACCTTAGTGGGGCTGTTTATCTCTGGACTGTTACCAAAATAACTATGTAAGGTGGTTTTAAATATATACCTGGAACTGCTGACACATGCAGTAACACAGATGCATCTCAAAAGCATTCTGCTAAGTTAAATAAGACAGACACAAAAGACTACATTCTGTATAATTCCATTTGTCTAAAATTCTAGAAGGGAGAGGTACCTAGCTGGCTCAGTCAGAACAGTGTGGGACTCTTGATCTAGTAGGGGTCATGAGTTCAAGCCCCATGCTGGGTATAGAGATTGCTTAAAAAAACATTCTAGGGGTGCCTGAGTGGCTCAATAAGTATCCGACTCTTGATTTGGGCTCAGGTCATAATCTTGTGGTTCATGGGTTCGAGCCCTGCATTGGGCTCTGCACTGGCAGTGTGAAGCCTGCTTGGGATTCTCTCTCCCTCTTCTCTGCCTCTCCCCCTCCCCCACTAGTACTCACTTTCTCTCCCTCTCAATAAATAAACTTTAAAACAATTCTAGAAGAGGCATAACTATAGGGACAGAAAAACAGAACAGTGGTAGCTGGAAGGTAGAGGGAGATTGCAAGGGGCACAGGGAACTTTTAGAGTGATTGAAGTAATTTTATCTTGATTGTGGTTACACATCTGTATGTGTAAATAATATCTCAATAAAGCTGATGACAAACATGCATATCTGATAATAAAATTCATTCACTCATTCAACTGGTTTAATCAATGCTATTACTGAGTACCTAGCACTCTTTGGGCAGTAGATACTAAGGGCAGCAAAGGAGGGCATCTATATCCATGCTGCACTCCCAGCTCAGCTGGACAGACACAGAGATCTGAGACAGGCACCTGGTGCAAGGGGATCCAACCCAGTCTGGACTGCCACTGGGCCACTGGGAGGAAACACTTAAGTTAGGAATATAGGAATTAACTAGATGATATGGAAGAACAGTTTAAATGGCGTCTTAAATTCCATTCACAATCTGTCCTTTCAGTGATGACGGGTGTACAACATTGTGGTTAAAGGTGCTGGCTCTGAAGTCAGATGATCTAGTCCAACATCCAACCTAGCACTTAATAGCTGTGCAATCCTGGACAAGTTATTTAACATCTCTGAGCTGTGGTTTCCTCCCTGCACAAAAGGCATAAAAATGGTACCTCCTTCATGAGGCTCCTAGAAGGATTACACAATAATACATGTAGATTGCATACCTGAGTCCCAGGTCCACAATATAGCTAAGCTGTTATCACCATCTTCTTATTCTCATTAAAGGAAAGAACATAGTGGGCATAGTTAAGGACCCTGAAAAGGAAGGTTGGGCACAATGTGAGAGGTCCAAAGAGGCCAAGAAGAATTCAGGACTTCATTCTGAGAGAAAATGGAGAGCCCATAACAAAGAAAATAGCCTGCAATCAAATGCACAGCCATCAAACACCAGATGCAAAGCTCACGCTTGGGTCCTCTGCTTCAGCCACATTGGCGATTCCTATGTCCCTCACACAATTTGTTCATTCAGCCTCCAGAGCCTGCATAAATCTGCTCAACTGTAAGGTATTCAAGTAGCTCGTAATTTTATGTCCTCAGTGAAAGGAAAGCATATGCCCACACAAAGACTTGATAAAAAAAACATTCACAGAAGTTTTACTCAAAACAACCACTGAAATAATGCAAATGTCTATCAACGGGTGAATGGATAAACAAACCATAGTTTGTTCTTAGAATGGAACATTACACACACAATAAAAGGAGCTAACTATTGATAACATGCAACCACATGGATGAATCTCAAAATTATACTGAGTGAAAGAAGCCCAACAATATTGCCCAGGACACTAGCAGACTGCTGTTTTGATATATCAGTTCACCTAAAAAAGTATTCCTATTCATTAGTAAAATCAACATTGTATTTTCTGTGCTATTTCAGGATGGTTCTTCTTCATAGATGGTGGCTTTTCATCTTCCTCATATTTTGGAATAGTTTATATAAGATGGAAACTGTTCCTTATAAAGTTAAAAGAATTTATCAAAAAGAAATAAGGATGACATAAACAATGGGGAAAAGATATAATTTACTTCATCTCTTTACTTAAGTAATTATTACCTACTTCTTGTGACAATTTTGTTAATTTTCTCAGAAATTCCTTTAGTTGCAACCCTTACTTATTGCTGGTAGTATTGCTATTAATGTACTTACTCCTTGCTAGAAGCATTCCTTGTTCTTGATTACTGATAAGAATGAACATTTCCCACACAGCTGAAGAAAGCATCACCTTCATTTAGCACCTGCACGTGACCTGGTGTAATCACACAGGTCCACCTTTCTCTATGCTGCACCCATCCTCATGAAGAGGAAAAATTTTTGCCATAGCTTGAACAATGATTCAGTATACATGTCTTTAGAGGTTACTCATATTATCAGTACCATAAACAGATAACCAGAAGTACTTGTCAAGAAATAGAAAGGAGCTGTAGAAACAAATATAATGAAGAGACTTAGGATATAGCCCATCAGGGGAGCCTGGGTGGCTCAGTCAGCTAAGTGTCTGACTCTTGATTTCAGCTCAGGTTGTGATCCCAGGGTCATGGGATTGAGCCATGCATCCAGCTCGGCACTGAGGGTGGAGCCTGCTTGGGATTCCCCCCACCCCTTGCCTCTCTTCCCCACTCATGCTCTCTCTTCACTCTCTCAAATAAAAAAAAAAAAAAAAAGGATATAGCCCATCAGTTGCATTCTTGGGCATTTATTCCAAAGAAATTAAGACTTAATTTCATGCAGGAACTTGTACATGAATGTCTATAGCAGCTCTATTCATAATAGCCCCAACTCAGATGTCTTTCAAGAAGTGAATGGATAAACAAACTGTCCATACTGGCCATGGAATACTACATAGCCATAAAAAGGAACGAACTATTGATTGTGCAACAACTTGGATGAACCTGGGAATTATACTGAGCTTAAAAAGTCAATCAATCCCAAAAGGTGACATTTTGTAAGTTCATTTATAAAAATGTTCTTGAAATGACAAAGTGATAGAGATGGAGACAAGACTAGTGGTTGCCTGGGTTTAGGGAGGGGAGGGAGAGGGTGAGGGTGGCAATAAAGGGTAGCACAAAGGAGCCTGGTTGGATGGGGGGGCGGGGTACAGATGAGTACCTTGATGTGACAGTGGTTCCACAAAGCTACACATGTAATGAGACTGGACAGCATTACACACACACACACACACACACACACACACACACACACACACCCCTACACACACATGTGTATTTTTAACTAGTGGAATCTGAATAAGCTCTTGGATTGCATCAGTGTCAATCTCCTTAGGCTGATTTTGTACTATGGTTGTGTTATGTTACATCAAATTGAAGAAGGCTGGTGGATGGGAACAGTGGACACCATTGTACATTTCAGTACAATTTCTATGAATCTATAATTATTTCAAAATAA